GAAAATCAAACGGAAATCAACCAAATCCACCACAGCAAACACACTCAAATTGATAGTTCAGTTTCTCCAATGAAAAAACTCCAAATGTAATGACCTAAGACTTGGACAAAAGAAGAATCACTTTGTTTTTGTGAAATGTTTAAATACACTGTATTTGGACTAATTAATTTTTTTTATTTACTAAACCTCAACTTCCTCATCAATAAAATTTCTATTGTGCCTATTGGGGTTTCAAAATTAGTTAAGTTACTCTTGCAAAATATATTTTGTTTTATTTCACAGTCATTGTTTTTTAATATTTTAATTCTTGTAATTTTGAACTTTAAGTTATTCAAAATACTTAACTGTCCTTCAGCATTGGAATTGTGCAATGTCAATGTTTCACAATAATTATAATTGCCTAATGAAGATCTCAACTTATAGCGAAGACAGTCAAATGGTAACAGTGGTAAAAAAATAACATTTTTTAGGACTCCAACATGGATTTTTACATAGCCTAACTTGAAAGAATCTAAGTTTCAGAGGTTTACTGTTTTCATGCGTCTTGTTAATAGCCTAAACTTAATATAATATAAGCTATTTTGAAATTTATTTAATTACCCTTAAAATGGTGATTCTAATCTAGTAAGGAATAATTTCTGGTATTGTGTCTTTAAAAGTATGATATAACAAATTCAAGAATTTTATAAATGTAGCCTATTAGTGAGTGAATCAGAATCATAGCCTACAGTAACAGGCCATAAATTGCATTCATGGTTCATGGTTCACCTTAAAAGGCGTTCATGGTCATGCCTTAATAAAAATAATATATTACTTTTATTTGCTTTTACATACAGTTCTGCAGTGCTAACAGATTGTTATAATCAAAATTATTTTAACTGTATTAAAAAAAAAAAAACTACATATCCTATTACTTTCAGGTCATTTATGATTAGTTAGAAACGTAAAAGTATGATTTTTAGCCAGGATATATACTCTCTAGTTATAAAACAAAGGAATGCTTGCCATACTAGAAGCTTGATTATAAATTTGTTTAGAATTTTATTTTGGGCCCCAAGAACTGAATATGCAATGAAAACCTACTCACAGTTCAGATGTTCAAATGCAATTTATCATGTAGATATATTACATGTATCTCTGAATTTTCGGCTATGTCAGGTAATTGTAAATAAGTAGTATTAACAGAAATGTTATCACCACAAAACGCATTTATTTAACTTTTTTCAAGTAAGAACTCGAGGGTTGAACATGCGCTAACAGCCCATTTATTAGCATGCAATTTTAAATTTCGCGCCAACTCCGGCCTCACGCAAATGACGGGCGTATGATTCGGTGGTGGGAGAAGGCGCTGATGGGTGGTGTTACGAGAGACAAGGGTTCGTGAAAATGAAACAAGGTAGGCAACCATATTTATTTCACTTCACTCTCGCTCGTAACGTAACTTACGATAACAACATCGGTTCGATTCTCTACGATTACGATTTCGACTTTCAGTTGATAACAATCGAAACACAACCGAATCATACGGTTGGTCTGTTGTGAACCCAGCACTATCCCCTACGGACAGTTCAACCAGGTGTACCACTACTACAACTACCACCTCCTTTAAAGCGAAGACGTGATACGTGATTTTACAATGGAATTTACGAATTTACCGACAACTCATATGGCCGAAAGATAGTTTCGGTAATTGGGACGTCGTTCATTTAGTACCCTTAGACTCGAGCCTAGAATAGTACCATGGATAAAAACCACGATAAAACATGCTCCCTTGGTTAGTCTATGCTAGTACAGTAAAATAGACTATTACTAACAATATATATATATCAGCCCTAAGAGTCGAGTATCATCATAGATTAAACATACTCCCGTTTAATCTATGGTATCATCTAGACTCTTATTGATCAAGTAACAAGTGTTTCCCCACTCGGCACTCGCGGCCACCTTTAACCCCCCCCCCACTTCAATTAATTACTGTAATACCGTAGAACTCAAAAAATATATATTAGATTTATTTATGATCTTCGATCACCTTTAACTACAGGCCACAGGTTTTTTATAGAGGGCCAGGCATACAAGTGACCATGGGATTGCATCGCAACTAGAACAGCTTATTGTGCACCCCCATTCACAGGTTCTCAATATCCGTCAAATCCCAGGCGAACCGTGAGAACCTTTTGACTATGTTAACCTGTTCTTCCCTTTGGTACTTACTTACTTACTTACTTACTCCCTCGACGTCGTTGACCAGCTCTTGCTGGATAGACTGAGTCAAATAAAAATAACAATAATATATATATACATATTTACAAGTTTGGCGGCAGGTTAGACGCAAATTTTATAAAACTCATCTAGGGAGTACAAGGGTCTTGCCAGTAGCCACTCCCTCAGTTCGTTTTTGAAAACTGAGGCCTCAAGCTCAAGGTTTTTTAAGTACAGTGGCAGTCGGTTGTACATCCTAATTGCCAACATAGGAAAGCTGTCCTTTTTTTTGTTTAGTCTGCAGAAAGGGATATCAAGGTTGGATTTTGACCTTGTATTGTGATCATGTTGGTCTTCTCTCAATGCAAGACTAGAGATGTTGGTCCTTACGTTGTTTAGGGTGATTAGAATGTACTGGCTGTATACTGTAAGGATATTGAGTTTACTAAAAAGAGGTCTGCAATGTTCGTGGTAGTCAGCGGACGAAATAAGTCTGACTACCTTCTTTTGTAACAAAAGTACATCCTTACATCCAGCTGCATGGCCCCAAACCTCCAACCCATAGCTGATATGGCTGTGGAACAAAGCAAAGTAGACAGTCAGTAGGTATTGCTTTGTCAGCATAGGTTTGAGCTTCCTAAAGAGATGCAATGTCCTCGATAGCTTGGTGCACACTTTCATGGTGTGTTTTCCCCAGGTGAGTTTGGGGTCGATTATGAAGCCTAATAATTTTACTTCAGGCAGGTTATCAGGGATGGGATTCCGAGCTAGACTGCAGGTCATGTGTTGCGTTTTGGTTTCATTTAGGCAAAGCTTATTTGCTTTGAACCACGTCTTGGTTTTCTCAAAGGACTGTACAGCCTTGGCCCTGGCTTCCTCAGGAGTGCTTGCATCCGCAAAGATAGTCGTGTCGTCCGCAAAAAGCAAGACGTTGCCTAACTGTCCGAGGTCGTTTACCATCACCAAAAATAGCACAGGGCCCAACACAGATCCCTGGGGCACGCCATGTTTAACCGGCAATGGTTGTGAATTTGCCCCTTTTACTGCCATGATCTGTTTTCGATTTAGGAGGTAGGATTTAAAGGCAAGCAGTGCTGGCCCCCCAACGCCATATAGATGTAACTTTTCTAGCAGTTGAATGTGGGAGACGCAATCAAAAGCTTTGCTTAAGTCAGCTAGGGTGAGTGCAACTGAATTCCCCTCTTCGAAAGCATCGACTACCTCAGTGACAAGTTTAAGAACTGCAGTAGTTGTGGTTCTACCAGACCTAAAACCATACTGTGAGTCACTAAACAGACCATTTGTTTCAAAGTGTTGAACAAGCTGTGTTTTCATTATACTCTCATAAATCTTTGCAAACATGGGCACTATGGAAATCGGTCGATAGCTTCCTACATCTTCAGGGTTGCCCTTTTTAAAAATGGGTACTGTTTTAGAAACTTTTAAGACATCAGGGAAAACCCCATGGGACATACAAAGATTAAGTACTTTTGCTAGGGGATCAGCAATAATGTCCGCAACATGTTTCAGTACAATGATGTTTAAGCCATAAATATCCTGACTAGTTGTGTTCTTGAATTGTTTGATTATTTTAATGACATTTTGAGGCGTTACATAAGCCCAGTTATCTAGAGAGTTTATAATAGGCTTGTCCGGTATTTTAGTTGCAGTATTTACATCACTGTCAGGGTTTACTTGGTTTGGTCTCCTGTCAATAGGACCATACGCAGACCTTTGTAAGGCTGGGCACATAAATATCACAAAACGCTGATAGCTGATACCTTCACAGCTTTCACAGGGTCTCTGGCTGGGGCAAGCTGTAGCGATATTTCTCTTAAAGGACTCACCTCCTAAAATTGCTCGACCAGCCAATCCTTTTTGGCTGCGTTATGCCAGCCAACCACCAACGCTCCACTTTCAAGATGGCAGCTGCTTGTTCTGACGTCTTTGCCACGAAAGGCCCACCTGGACAGCTCCCCCTTGATTTTATTGGCTTCAGCCTCCGTCCGTTTCCAGTCTGGGTGTTCAGATTTGGTGATAGCCATCTTCTCCACAGACAGTGTCTCCGAATAGGTGCGTGCCGGTGCTCTCTGTTAAACGACCGAGCCCTATCCCTCTTTCGTCCTCGTCTTCTTTTTTCCCCCTCTTTCCATCGTTCTTCCTGGATCCTTCATCATGGGGGTGCCACACTCGCCTTGCTTTTTCCCCAGCATCCTTGTTCCCGGAGGAACTGGCTTTGCAGGGAGCAGAGTTTTGGTGCTTGGCAGGCCACGCCAGCCTCCTCTCATTTCTGGATAGCACCTTTTCGGGCTAAAGCATCCGCTATCCTCCATCTTTGCAACTCGCCCCTGGAAAGTCGTTTTTTCGTTCCTTTCTGGTTTCCGCGAGCTTAATGTCATCATCGTCAGATTTCAGTAGACCTTCCTCCGGGCCCCAGGCCACGGCATGTAAAAACATACTCCCAATGATATAACTCATTCGGTTATCACTCTGAAAATATATTGATTCAGTTATTGTTCCTGAAACTAGCAAACAAATAAACTCTGTTTAGTATTGTAGCTTACTAAAAAAGCCATGCGATAAATAAAAAATAGTACATACATTATATTAGTATATTGAATAACGTAATCGTCATAATTGTTTATGAGTGGCTAGCCTGATAGTAGAACGTCATCATACAGCAGCAAAATGTCTGTTTCTGCTGAACAGGTATACCAACGGAAGGTTTTGAGTTACATCAATTTACAGCTTAAAAATCGTATTGTTCAAGGTATTTTGCTGGGAATTTAACGTTGCTCAGTTGGCAAAAATCTATCTGTCTGTGGAATTCGTCTTACTTTTGGTTTGGCGTTTCGGAAATCGTACTCTGTTAGTGAGTGTGTAATTTTGTTAATTTTTGTTATAAAGTGAAAATAAACCAATATGGATGAAGAATACGACGCAATAGTGCTCGGGACTGGTTTAAAAGAATGTATCCTAAGCGGTATGCTCTCTGTTTCTGGTAAGAAAGTTCTGCATATCGACAGGAATAAGTACTATGGTGGCGAATCAGCTTCCATCACACCTCTGGAAGAGTTATTTGCACGTTATGGTGCACCATCTCCTGATGAAACGTATGGAAGAGGCAGGGATTGGAATGTAGACCTGATTCCAAAATTCCTCATGGCAAATGGCCTGTTAGTAAAATTGCTCATTCACACGGGGGTAACAAGGTACCTCGAATTCAAATCTGTCGAAGGTAGTTATGTATACAAACAGGGGAAAATCTCCAAAGTCCCTGTGGACCAGAAGGAAGCTCTGGCCTCAGATTTAATGGGGATGTTTGAGAAGAGAAGGTTTAGGAACTTCCTCATTTATGTCCAAGATGTCAAACTCGATGACCCAAAAACTTGGAAGGATCTAGATCCTAACAGCACCACAACTCAGCAACTGTATGAGAAATTTGGTCTAGATAGGAACACCCAAGATTTTACAGGGCATGCATTGGCTCTGTACCTTGATGATGATTACCTGAACTATCCAGCTGCCCAAACAATCTGCCGAATAAAGCTGTACAGTGACTCTCTTGCTCGTTATGGCAAGTCCCCCTATCTATATCCCATGTATGGACTTGGTGAACTGCCTCAGGGCTTTGCTCGACTCAGTGCAATCTATGGTGGTACCTACATGCTTGATAAGCCAGTAGATGAAATTGTTATCGAAAACGGCAAAGCTGTTGGTATTAAATCAGGAGAAGAAATTGCAAAATGCAAACAGGTATACTGTGACCCATCGTATGTTCCCAATAAGGCTAAGAAAACCGGCAAGGTTATTCGTTGTATTTGCCTGATGGATCATCCCATTCCTAACACAAGGGACGCACTATCAACTCAAATAATCATTCCTCAAAAACAAGTGAACAGGAAATCAGATATTTATGTATCTTTGGTGAGTCACACTCACCAGGTTGCAGCCAAAGGCTGGTTTGTTGCAATGGTCTCTACAACGGTTGAAACTGAAAACCCTGAAGCTGAAATTAAACCAGGTCTGGATCTGTTAGGTCCCATTAAACAGAAATTTGTCACAGTGTCTGATTATCTTGAACCAACTGATGATGGCAAAGAAAGTCAAATTTTTATTTCTAAGTCATACGATGCAACGACTCACTTTGAAACAACATGTCTTGATGTATTGGATATATACAAGAGAGGAACAGGGGAAGATTTTGACTTTTCGAAGGTGAAGGTTGAACTTGGAGACGAAGATCAGTAAGGTACGCTATAATTCTTAGATAAACCACTCTATCTCATGTTAAGGTAGCTTTCCAGCCATATGAATTATCCCTGTAAGTTAAATATCACTCAAATCCGGCCTTCACAGTATCAATAACGCAATGGGAATTTAAAACTTTGATTAAAATTTTAAAGTAGGTAGGCTACATTATAACTTAACACGTTTGCTACTGAGCGTCGCATATACTATGCGACACCGCGGTCATTGCCACAGACCGATGTACCCAATTTAATCTTACTCATAGACCTGCTGTCACTTCGTTAACAGTTGGTGAAAACCTGTGAAACAGCGATCATTACGTTGTAATAGGCTGCAATCGTTTGTAAATAATATATTATTGATTTTTTTATATTTTCGATAACCTTTTGCCCAGTCTATGTCAAAGACAATAATAGGCCTACCTAGTTTAATATATTTTTCTTGAAATAGGCTAGCGCAAACCCCGCATATATGTGAAAGTTCATTTTTGTTCATCTTCCTGGATAGGCTTCCATGGTCACTTAATGTAGAATCGTGGTCTTCTGGCGACGACCATGTCAAAAATGATGAATCACTAACACTCTCGTCGTGCGGAGTCAAGTCGCCCTGAAGATGGCACTCTGTATCGAGGCCGAAACGTCGGTGAGTGTTAGTGATTCATCATTTTTGACATGGTCGTCGCCAGAAGACCACGATTCTACATTTTTGTTCATGTTTGTAGGTGAAAGTAAGAATAAAAAAAACAGATTTTTCAAGAACAGTTTACCGAATAAAAATATAAAAGCTGCGCACAGGATAATGTAGCATAGGCTACATGTCAATTATCAATCAATCAATCAATTATCAATGATTGAGATGGGGACGCCACCTAGGTGCGTATTTTAACCCAAATATGAGTGAAGGATGAGTGTAGAATGGTGTGATGACCTGTGTAGCTTTGTTACTGACTAAGATCAGCGGTTTCATTAGTCTGGATCATTTTGACTTGACATTTTACTGGGAAATTTCACATCAAGCCCACGGTTGATAAGTGTGTGACTTGCGGTTTTCTCAAAAGATTGTGATCCTTATTAGCCTATAGGTTGACAATTTCCAGCTCAATTTACTGGCTATCTGTTTTTAGAACTAACTTAGGTAGGTATTGATTTGGGGAGTGAAGGAAAAATTTGTCTTATGAATATATTTGATAGGCCTAAATAAAATGCTAAAACATGTACCTACCAGTACCTACTTAAATGATGACCTCAATTTTCCTTTGGGCTAAACTAGTCTACTTAAAAACAATCACCTCATCTTAGAAATACTTGACTAAATAGTTACTTTTGTGTAAGTAGTGTGCAAAGTGGCACTTTGCTGCGCATGAGAGAAATGTTTAAACACATGAGCCACTGGCGAGTGTGGAGAGTTTCTCGAGTGCAGCAAAGGATCTTTGCACTAGTGTCATACATTATATTTTTCCTACAGTTACTATAAAGAATATAAATAATTAGTCTTTCAAACACTATACAACACATTATAGGTTAGGTTTAATCCAAGCGTTGAACAAAATTGGAAACACTGCACCAGCTGAGTCCTAATTAATATCTTTAATTGTTGGCAACTTATTTTCAAACGCACTAGAAACGTTTTGTGTTGTTTGGTTGGAATACTGGAGTGCGAGAAAAAAATTAAGTGCTGCAAAAGTAAAAATGCACCAATTACTGTAGCTTGGCGTACTGGTAATCAGTTCAAGGAAGCCAACTTTGTCAGGCAACTGTAGGAAAAATATTTTGCATTTAAAACTACCTATTTTCAACTTTTATATTTTGTGCAACCAACTTTACTTTAAAAATATTTTTGCTGTTAACTTCATAGCCTATTCATTGGAATAGAACTTATCTGTGGGAACTTGGTTTAAAATCCTGTTAATAATGTTCAATCAATCAATCAATAAAATCTTTATTCAGAACGCACAGATACATCGTACATGAATGTGTCATTATGTTATTTTTAAATAACATAAATATATTAGGCTACATAAAGTTAAAAGATTTATATAACAGCAGTTTTTAGATAAAATAAATACTGTACATTACTTAAAGTTAAAAAAAAATCATCCAGACTGTAAAAAGAATTTCCTATTAAAAATTGTTTCAGTTTCTTTTTAAATTTAATTAAGTGCTTTGCTCCTTCCTTATGCCATCTGGGAGTTGATGGATAAATTTAATGCCAATATAAATAGGCCTGAGGACTTTGCTTATATTTTTCTTTTTTATGATTTTTAATTGTGAAATTTTGTTTATATCTAGTATTGTAATTATGGATATCCTGTTGTTGCTCTAATTTTGATTCATTATTTTTTACATAAAGAATTGCTAAACACAGAACTGTTAAAATTTCCAAATCTTTGAAATATTTTCTTAAAGAATTTTTGCTAGAGGTTCTTTCTAAATTTAGGATGTGTCTGATAAATATGCACATACTGTTTTTGCTTTACCATTTGTAATAGTAAAATTCTTTTTAAATTTTGATTACTCGTACCCCCATAAGTTTCAATACCATAAGATATATGGGAGTAAATGTGGGCATAGTAAACTGTTTTAAGGGTTTGTACATTGCAAAAAGGTTGAAGTCTATTAATTATAAAGATTCCAGAACTTATTTTCTTACAAACATGATCAAGATGTTTGGACCAGGTTAACGGTTTATCAACTATAAGACCTAAAACTTGGTGTTATTCTCAAAGTTATTAAAAATTTCATTGTTTTGTGAATTTTTACAAGAAAATTTAACCAAAGTAGTTTTGTTCTTATTTAATAAAAGATTTTTTATCATTGAGAAAAGTATTGAAATGGCATTTTCTATTTTGGATTCTATATACCGTTTGTATTTCTGTCATGCATTGACATACTGATGTCGTCTGCATATAAACATAGTTTGGTATTCTGAATTTTATTAGTTAGGTGTTCCTGCATACCTCCCAGATAACATAAGAATAGGAACGGTCCAAGAACCGATCCTTGAGAAACCGAATATTGTACCTGCCTTAACTTAGATTTTTATTGTACAAATTTTGCTAAATGCATGTTCATTGTTTCTTTTAAAACTTACATAAACTACTGCCACTTAGGCTTTTGAAGTTTGGTACTTAAGTTTGTATGGCTTTAAGCAAACAAGTCAAGTGGTTTATACATTGATTTTCAGTCTCCCTAACACGCTGTTATCACATTGAAACTAATTTTTAATTGAAACTTTTTTGTCTTCCAAACGTTTTCTTTGATTTTAAAATCCAGTTTTAATGAAAAAGTTATGTTTTTTTTTTCAGGTGTTGAACATGATATGTTTGATGTGCTGCGCTTAATTCTTACAGTGGAAGAAATTGCAAGAGAATTTTTGGCAATCATCTTTGAAAAGGCATGTTTGTTTATCGGAACTCTAATCTTCTATATAAACTGTGCATGTATGCTGTACTGTTTACCATATTTAAAAGTAATTTTTATTTTCATTAAATATCTTTATGGTACTTTTCGTATCATTCAATAAGTTTTCCTCTGTAAAATATATTTAATCCACCACTTAAAATCAACTTTTTAAAAGGCTTCTAAAGTTCAAGTGTAGATTTTTTTGTAACTTTTATACCAAAGATTTTCTTTATAACTATAATGAAGTCTTCTTGTCATATCTAGGCAAATCTCTTGTATTTTATGTTTTCCATTCAACTATTTGAATATAATTCTCCTAACCTTTTTACTACAGGAGATTTTAGTATAGTTTTATTTTGGATTAACATTTACCAAATTTAACATACCAAAGCTGGAGAAGAGAGCTCTGTATTTCTAAATAATATTGTTTCCACGCTTAATATCCATGGTCTTTAAATGTTTCTGTTAATAACAGGTTTTCATTCATATTTTCTTTTGGAAAGCCAGCTTTTTTAACCACCACAACGTGCATATGATTTCAATTTTAGAAGCCTTTTTAATTGTAAGTCTTAGCTTGCTTTTACACCTTATATTTTAATCTAGGGATTCCCGTTTGTTAATTTAGTCTATAGGAGTTTATTTTTAATCATATTTGGTGTTTAAAAGGTTAAAAAGGTTTAAATGTGTGTAAATAACACTCATTGTTGCATTATCTTCACAACTGAGTAAAAAAACATTCCATTTTAAAGCGATTGAGAATAGTAAAAAGCTTTTTTGAAGATACGAATAAGTAAGATAGTCGATGTTCTTTGTAAGTGTACAAACTAGTAAACCTCCCAAACAAATGCCACTGTATATTGAGCTTCTTTGTCCTGATTTTATCTGTTTGTTTACTTTGCAAAACATTTCGTGCAATGTTCGCAAAAACTAGTACATTTAATACAATAAAGATTTAGATGTGTATTGGAGAGTAATTTTAGATGTGCTCAATGCATTTATTTTGTTATAAAATTTACCGTGTAGAATTGTTTATTTTACTGAACCCTGTTTATCATCCCTTGCTTTTTATGGTATATACACGCTGTTCATTGTATCACACAAGTATTTTAAAGGTTGTATAAATTACTTTTCTGTTTTGTAATAAATCAACTTCTCTTTATGTTGAATGAAACTGGTTCATGGTCTGTTTTGGTAACAATTGGTTATTCTAAGTTAACTCACAGATGGAAGAATCTATTGTCAATCTATTAACTTATGATTATTGGCTTTGAGAAATTAAGTTTTGTTTAAATGAGATACCAATCATACTAAGCCAATGTAATTAAAGTAGGCCTATTTAACTGAAGGTATACTACGGGCCAAATTTTACCATCTGCTATATTCTTAAAAAATTTATTTTGTAAGTAAACTTATTGGCCAACAGATATAACCCCTGTAAAACGCATAAATCATTTTTGTTCTAGACTTGTATTTATAAAATCACAAGTGAAAAGTTTAAGATAGGGCTATCACTGTTAAAACATTAGATGTTTAAATATATTTTTAGCTATACCTAAAATTTGAAGAATGTGATGTTATGTATTATGAATGGGTTTTTGAACATAGGCAAATCAAATCCTTTAATTTAAACACTTTTTGGAACTAGCCTAATTAAATAATCCTAAGCATGCCTCAATCTATGAAAGTTATTTGAGTTAAAATATAAACTGGTATATTATACTATATTATACTTCTGTCATGCCAAAATAATTTATTAGTATTAAAATAATTTTCCTGCAAAACATAAATGTTCTGGTCTTTATGGGGTACTGTGTGTAATTCATGATTCTTAAAATTTCCTCTCTCTGGTTCCTGCATATTGATTTCCTTTAACAAAAATGAAATAATATACAGAATTATATATTTGGAAAATATAATATTTTTTTTTAATATCTAACTTATTGCAAATACACAGTGCTTGTAGATAAAAATGCAAGGTGGTGGACAAATTATTGTTTTGCTTGAAAATCATTATTTAGCTGTTATTTTGCAGAATATGCTAAAAATTATTGTAATTATTATTATCTGTTAAATTGCTACAAGCATGAAATATATTAAATTTTTTTGTAATCTGAAACCGTGTACTTAAGTTTTTAACCCTCATTACCCCTTGCAGATTAAAATTACCATTTTAAATTAGTCTGATAGTAAAAAGAACAATATGTGTGCACATTCAATTGCTACGAGTATTTAAACATTCATTATGATATAAAGACACTTTGTCTAGTATTGAAATACAATTGTCAACTATTGTTATCTTATATTCTTTATCAATATTGAAAGACAGTCAAAGATACTACCCACTTTAGGGCTTAACAATGCGGTAAAAGTTAGGTTATTAAGTTAATATAAATAAGTATAGATGAGGGGACCGATGCGCAAATTGTGCATTTTAATTGCGTAAAAACTGGTTTCCGAGGCTAAATGAATAATGCTTATACCCTTTTAATTTTCAGACTATGTGGTTTTCTTAAGACAGTCATTAGGTATAGTGTGTAAATTAAGTCTTGAAACAAACCTTTATTTATAAAACCGAAATAGATAGAAATATTTTGTTTGTAGCATTGACTCTTAACAAAGGTTCTGCAATTTTTTAAACCAAAAAAATTGTTTTACCTCCCTAACAGGGTAGGGGGGGTGACTTATTTTTTTGCAAATAGACTGACATAGGACTGAAATAGACTGACCCTATTGAGTGACCCCTCATTTTGAAGGGCTTGTCAAAAAAAACACAATGACGCAAACCCAAGGTAAATATCTCACCTCTAGCCAAAATGGTGTGTATTCCAAAATAGGTGCTTTTTCACATAAATCAAATTTTGGAATACCCACCATTTAGGCTAGGGATTAAATATCTACCTCGGGTTTGCGTAATTGTATTTCTTTTGACAAACCCTTCAAAATGAGGGGTCACTCAATAGGGATTGTTATTTAAAAAAAATCACCCCAACCCCCACCCTGTTAAAGGGGTTAAAAAATATTGTAAAAAATTGCGGAACCTATGTTAACAGTCAATTCCACAAACAGAATATTTCTATCTATTTCGGTTTTAAAAATACAGAGTTGTTTCCATACTTTGTTTAATTGGTGCTTTTTTACGTGCAGTAATTTTGGAATACCTGCCATTTTGGCTAGGGGTGAGATATCCACCTCGGGTTTGCGTTGTTGTGTTTCTTTTGACAAATCCTTTAAAATGAGGGATCACTGAATAGGTGTTGCTATTTGAAAACAATAAGTCACCCCCTACCCTGTTAAGGGGGGGTTAAAAATATTTTTGATGTAAAAAATTATGAAACCTTTAACAATTAACACTACAAAAACAGAATATTTCTATCTATTTTGGTTTAAAAAATACAGATTTTTCGAGACTTAATTTACACCCTGTATAAAAAAAACTACTGATTACAACAAATTTGTTGATTTTAGATCCACACCATTAAGAATAATTTACCTACCTAGGCCTATATCAGGGTACAGTTATTTAAAAAAATAGCCTTACAGGCTAACAAACTGTTTTCTTGTTTACATTCTGACTGAGCTCAGAATAAACAATCAGCTGTTAAAATTACTATTTACATTTAAGCCTCTGGATAAAATGGGTCAGCATCCATGAATCTTTGAAAGCAAACTCTAGAAATAAATCAAATAGAAGAGGGGCGAAACCCGAAAGGAAATAATCTTTTTAGTTAATATTCGGTTCTACGCTAGGTCATAAGCTTTAAAATGACACATCAATCATAAAAATTGGTTAACTAGGACGGCTGGAAAAGGGATGTAACATTTTATTAAGTATTTTTAGATGTATGGTAGAACTCATAATTGATTACAGTATCTCAGGACCAATTATATTATAGATTACAACAAAGTTTTCTGTAGGAAGGAGTAAAAGTGTTTACAGTGTAAGGCTTTCACATTAACACACTTGTATTTACAAAATTTTATTTCCAACTAAAAAACAGTAAACATTATCGTCCCTGCAACCGGTGACGACGTAACCACCACAAGCCACCGGCGAGGAGAATACTTCTTTGGGTAACACAGAGGAACATAGTTCTGACCCATTGGTTATATCTAGCACACTAACAACACCTGAGGTAGAGGCAACAACCAGGTGTTGGGGGGAGAGTAGGGTGGGGGTAGCGTACACAGGAGAGTCAGTAGGATGACGCCACATCTCACTGGGGCTGCTCACACGTACACGACGGACACTGCTGTCGTGGCAACCAAACAACACTGAATCCTCAACAGTTATGAGAGATGAGAAGATCTTGTTACCTATGAAGTACTGCCAAACCTGCAAGAAAATGTAGAATACCAGGGACATTTTACATTCATAGAGATATATCATTCTTTATAGTTGTGAGAGGGATATTTCAACTATTTAAAAATAGTTTATGAAGATTGTGAAATAATAAAAAAAAATAACTAACTTGCAGGAGTCTTACTGTTAAACGTGCTGCTGAGCAAACCATGGCAATATCCCTCATCACAGCCATTTTTCTACTATTGATTTTATCAACTGAAATAAAAGTAATCTTACAAAAATAGACTGGTACTGTTTAAATAGTAAGGTCATAAACTTCTTGACCCTAGTTTAAGCCACAAAACCATACTTGGGGACAGTGATCAATTTGTTAAAAATGAGGTGCCAGAACTGTAACCTGTTTAATGTGATTAGAACCTATTTATGTATTTACTAGCAGAGTACCCGTCCTTCGTACGGGGTTAGCATATGAGTATAAAATGCTTATTGCAGTTATATTTGGCTTTGCGTTTGCAATGGGAGAGGACGCGGTTTAAGAAAATTTGGTTCTTTCAATTTACGGTATGCTATAATATAGCTCATCTACCATAGACATAATGTTCTACCACTTCACCTAAACAATAGAAAAAAGTCAAGTTCTCATTGTAGTATACCACAACTTTTTGTTGGTTCAAATTAGCTGTTGTCATAAAGGCAGAAAGATTAATAGTGCTACACCCTGTTGGTAAACCTTATAACTTTTTAATGCTATTTAATATCATAGAACCAACTTGTGTAGTTGAAACAGCTGACAAAGTTGAATACTCATAAGGTTAACATGGGAAACTCCAGAGCCCAAAAGGATTTTTGAGATAAGAATACGTCTATATGTTAATCGGAAATGTGAGTTATCATCATACCAAATTTCAACCCGATCCGACCAGTAGTTAATGTGTGATTGAACTTCATACAAACCTTCACATTTATAATATTAGTAAGAAGTATGATTTTTAGTTTTTACACAAACCAATTTTTATGTTTTGAAACAAATAATCCAATTAGACACTGATTATTGAGGATATTACTGGTAATTAATTTACTAATGTCATTGGGGTTTCAATAACCATAAATTAGCATTGACAAAGCAAGAAAGGTATTATTGGTGTTGGAGTGTGGTGTGGAAGTACACAAATAACAGTTGATTAGATAATGGAAAGAGAGAGGGGAAGGCAGGCAATGAACCCCCTACTGACAACAGGCAATCTCCCAAGCCAGATTGTTTACCAAACCAATTGGCAAATACAGTGTTACTGCCGTGCTTAAAATGTTAAATGTTGTGGGTAAAAATAAGTACAAAATTAAGATTGAGTAAAATATTTCTATATTGAACATAATTGACTTTAATTTGCCCCCTCAGAACCACCTCTAAATAATTTTTTTGTTAGAAAACAATTCCCTCTGTATCTCCTTTGACTTCGGTTTACATGCTTGAACCTAATTTTCCAATAGGCTGTCAGATCTCCCATAACTTATTGGAAACTTTGATTAATCTTAAAGTAACATTTAGAAACATAAAAAAACCTGTGCAACGTTTTATTGTGGTTCTTCTATCCCTTAAAGGCCCTAAACAGTTGCAGGTCCACAGAGTATGTTGTTTTCATTAAGGGAATGTACTTACATAAAAGTGGTTTTTTTCACCTTTCCAGTAAAAGGAATTATTAACACTGATATCATCCATATAATTCTCTACAAAAACAAACATAAAAAGCTAATATTTTTTACCAAATACATGAACTGGAATTGTAAAGCAACATACTCATCTGAAATTGCATAATTGTGAAATTTTTATTAGCCTAGGAATGGAAGTGATTGAACTTATCAAGCACTTATGATCTTCTCTCTTGAGCACTCATTATAAATAATCAAATACCCCTGCCGCAGCAAACCTGCATACTAAGGGAATTTCCATTTGCCTGATTTGATTTTCAGTTTTATTTAAATAACATAAGGTTTACAATACAAAACAAATAAACAATTAACAGGTAAACAATTTACAATATTCTCCATTTACAAGGGCGGTCCTAGGGATATATTTTGGGGGGGGTCACCGGGGGGAATACCCCCTAGCAAAGGAGGGGGGTCCGGGGGTACCACCCCGGGAAAAAAATTGGAAATAACGTGCTAAAACGAGTGGTTTTGAAGCTATTTTGAGGGCCTAGTTTAATGTGTTCAAGCTTCCCAGTTTATTTAAACGTCAAAGAAATGTCTAAAAATAAACTTGTATAATGTCATGTTTTTTCATTATTGAGACTTGGGGTTTTAATATCAAAGGAATACCGCAACATTACAACACATTGAAGCATTATTGATTTACGAAAACACCCTTTCAACTCATGGTGGATGTATTTTCCTTCCACCATGCTTTCAACTGGTGCCAATGTGCATGCTAAACGGATAATGTTTAAAATCAGACCAAGATTTCGAACCAGAGAACTTATTTTATCTAAGAAGTGTTTAAGAACTTGGACCCAAAACGACTGCATTATACCTGCCCAGTAAGCAACAGTTAACCTACACAAAGTACACTATCCAACTAACGTTGCCGTCGGCGTCCTGTCACTGCTACAGCCTGGAGAATTGGTTCTCAGTGTTCTTATTTTTTCTACGCCAGTGCCAGTGGCATTTTACAAGGGGTCAACGTGAGAATAAAGTTTTTGTGCAACTATTTTGTGGTTGTGCTGGGAATTAAATCTGTCCCTTCCACATCTAAGTCTGAGACACTACCATTTTGTTGTTGTTTTATGGCTAGCAACATGCCAATTGGGTTGTGGTATTCTTATATATGATATCAGGTGCTCTAAATATGAATACTATTTAATATTGAAAGTTTTGAAATTTGCTACGGTAATCATTGAATTACATTACTGTAATTACAAATTCCTAACGCTCAACTCAGATAAATTAATATTCAACTACCTTTCAATCTTTGACTATTGATACAACTTCTTTTCTTTATCCAATACCCAAGCCCAATTCATGTTTTCAATCATCTATGTTAAAATGAATGATAACATTAAATGCCGAAAAAATAAATAAGAAGAAGAATGCGGCCGAACGTCGAATGTCAGCATCGGACACTGCCGTTGCTGTATATGTCTGAAAGCGTCCGTCGTCTGCCGATCTTCCCTACTTTTCATAACGTACAAAAAAACAGTCAGACTCGACCGATGAGTTTTAGGTTAGAGATTGTAATTAGTCCTTTCATTCGCCACAAGTGTAAAGACTACAATACATTTCAATTTGGCAGAACGATTTGCAATAAAAATTATTAAAGTTCCCCTGGTATAATAGTTTATATATATAAAAAATATTTTGGGGGGGTCATGACCCCCCTGACCCCCCCCCCCCCTGGGACCGCCCTTGTCTCCATAAGAATATGCTTCTTATTGCAGACCTAGAGCGAACATTTTAAGTATATGTTTTATGGGAGTGTGACTTTTAGTTTTCTCAAAAGTTCATGGGTACTAATATCGCGTTGCTGCGCTAACAACTATTATTTTAAATGGTAATTTGTTCTTTACAATCTATATCTTTATATATTTATTAGGTGTATGAATATACAAGTTTTTCTTTGATAAAGGTTTTTACTTTTTATGTTTACATATTTAATACAGTAGGGGAGAATTTAAACGTTGAGTGCACAGGTGTGCTGCGATTGGGGTTTAATAAATTTGGACTTATCTAAAAGTAAAATAGTTTTCTGTGCTGCATTCTGTGGAAATATTGTGGCACTATTCCAAATCATGACTAATACAGAATTTTGTGATTATTCAAACCAACAATTGGTGAAAGTAAACACCTGCTTTTAAATTACATTTATTTGTAAACATTGTAGTTCCAAAAGTCTGACATTAGACCCCTAAAACCCTCTGGGGCGGAGCCCTTTCTACAATGCATTTATAGCAATACAAATCTGTAACACTTTACTGATTGTGGGGTTATAGCTTCCAAAGTTATGAGGAATTCAAAATTTTGTATGGATGACAAGTGTTTGGTAATTTATAAATGACGTACCTAATGTATGTGATCAGAAAAAAATTCATTAAGATATACTCTTATACGGACACCTTTAAACCAGACATCGGTTTAACCGGACCCCCAACTAATTAACTAGGCACTGTAATTAACTAGGCGGAAATGACATCTCTTTAACCGGACAATTTTTATCAGCACATCGGTTTAACCCTTAGAGTGCCAGGCGAGAAATAAAAGTAACGCTCAAAAAATGCCGATGATTTTTCCCGAAGGTCGCGCTAAAAATGCCGAGCGCGATCTGGCGATTTTTAGGTTAAAATTTCGTAAAAATCGAATTTTCGATATTTTGACCAACGAAAATTGATGTATCGCATCTAGTAACTTTCGACTCAATGTTAATATATGGGTTAAAAGAATCCGAGTATCCATTCGGTTGTTATGACAACTGTTCGATCATTACGAAACGTCCGGTAAGCCGGACGTTGGCACTTTTGGCTCGTTCTAAAAACGTCCGGTCGGCCGGACGTCGGCACTTTTGGCTCGTTTTAAAAACGTCCGGTTCCCCGGACGTTGGCACTCAAAGGGTTAACCGGACTACATCGGCAGGAAGGTGTCTAAATGTAATGCTCTCCTAATTTTAAGTCAAATATTTGGGTTATATAGCAAGTTTTTGGGGACGTCGGTTTAACCGGAAAAACCGTTACCCAGACTGACCTCGGTCCTGAGGAGTCCGGATAAGAGGGAGTACTCTACTGTATTAATTTGTGAGACTCATTTGTAGTTATTTTATTTTTTTATTTGTTCTATTTCTTGGAGTGATGTGTGTAATGAATGTTGTATATATTATCCTAAGAGCTGAAAACTCAAAAATGTGGGATGTATTTTTAGATATTAATAATATGTATAATTTAGGTTAGGTCTTACTCTATTTTGTAAACAATTTACATGTAACAGAATGAAAAGTTTTGAATTGAATTGAACACTGATAACTTTTTCTGATTAAACTTTTGGCAGCTTTAAGTTAAAGCAAAATAACCAATAATCTGCTGGGTGTTAAGAATACAAAACATACAATGACCATGTCTATGGCGCAGAGTAACTTATTTGATTTGATACCTCAATTGCAGCTTCAACTGACCTTGTTGCCACTGAGTGCTTGTATTCCATGAAGGATTCCTTCCACTTCAGCGACCACAACCAAGTCTTTAGCAATACATGGAGTGGAAAATACAGGCGAGGCGAGACAGATGGTCCATTTAAACTCTCCATTGCTACCATCTAGACCTGCCAACTGTCCAGTCAGGCTAGCCACTATGACGAAACTATGTTGCGGCAGGTACACAGGTGTTGCCAACACGATTCCATCCATCTTCTGCTTCCAGTTTAGTCTGCCATCCTTACAAACAATAGACAATAATCCTTTAGAGAACACATGTTGTAGAAAAATGCATTTAAAGGTGGACCTCTAAACCATTTCACAGCATCACATAGTAAAATGCCTTTGGTGAGTGGGAGTGTTTAAACCTTCCATGGTAGAAATGTGTTGAATTGTGAAACCAATTAACTGATAAAACCCATCTAATGCATGACGTGATAGTAAATGAAACTAATAAACTATTAGGTGTCAACAAGTGGCAATTTTGGAAAATTTCCCATATGGGTAATTTCTAAGCTATTACCGTAGGTCTCATGGTAAGACCTGGACCCGACACTGATTTCTTTTTTTGTTTTGAGGTTTCCAGAGTCCAAAATCACCATCCATTCAAATGCATATGTATATGTCCATTACCATGAAAATTCAAGCAAAAGGGATCATATTTTGATGAAATTTGGTTTTAACGAGTAAACCTACATTCATTCAAACGAGTTCACCAAAGAGTAATGATCTGACTATGGGAACGCACCCGCGGGGAGTTTTGTGGGGAGCTTTATAAGGTAGAAATTGGTTTTTCCTATTTTTTTCCTTAAATATATTAAGTTTTGCAATATCTTTACAAACCATTTTGTCGGGCTTAAAAACAAATAATTTAGTATAGTGAAGTGTTGTTATTCGCTTGATGGTCGAGGATAAAATTCCAAAAAAAAAACTTAAAATTAAAAATTCTTATGTTATTTGTATGGAGAATAAGTAAAATGTTGGGAGTTTTCTTGTGTATTAACATGTTTGGAAAATGTATTTATTTCTAAACACTTCACAAAAAAAAACTTTATTACCTTCCCTGTAGAAGCAAACCTATGTACTTGTTAAACTAATGTTATTTAAATAGGGAATATTACATTTCTAAGGAGATATTTTAGTGAAAATAAAATTGGACAGATGAAAATTCACTTAGTATTAATTAAGGTTTGCTGCGGCAGGGTAATTTTTATTAATTTTAGATTCCACTCTTGTCTTGACCCTGCATTTTATTTTTTCTCTGATACTATAGAACCCCATTTGGGGTTAAATTTCCCCTGTATTAATTATTCAAATGTGTCTAAACATAGGGCTTCGACTACATAAGAACATATCTCCTTGACAAGTCAAAGATCCTTATTTGTGATGTGAAAACTTTATGCATGTATGGTGCCTTTGTCTACACTTAAGGTGCCTTTGTCAAATAATATTATTGGTTCATTCAAACATTAACACGATGTAAGATAAAATAAACGGTATCAGCAATCTGAAACATACTTTCTCCCATTAGCTTGCCAACAACCCTTATCATGGGCAAGCAGTGGGAGAAAGTATAGTATTTTATGGGGGAGCGTGAAATCACAAAAAGATGCAACAACTCTTGAACTTTAATTTTTACAGCAATGGGGACTGTACCATTATGTTTATATAAGATCAATAAAATACCAAACTTTAATCACTCACTTTAGTCAGACGAGCTTTTTTTGAATATCATATTTTTTTGTTGTTTTATGGGAAAATCACATAAGCCACAATAACTTTTGAACCGTAATTTGTATTGCAATGTAAGTTGCTTTATTAAGTTTAAATTTGAAAGGACTATAATATACTACATTTGAACCACAAACAATTATTTTTGAGAAAACTTAATTCTTTATTCCGTTATTTTATGGGTTTTTATGAAAAGATGACCATCAAAAAATTTTAAAAAACGCCTGGAGACACCATATTTATGGATTAGTAGTAACACACAAAATGTCATCAAAATCGGATCACAGGTTTAATCTGTAGCTCTGTAAACATCCACACACACACACACAGAGATAGACAGATCCACAGACATCACTCTTCAAAAACCACTTTTTTTAGGTGGACCCATAACCCATATTCACCAAAAACTTAAACTCTAAAATGTTGACAAAAACAATACTTTCTCCATACATCTACTATGTATAGGGGGAAAACGTGAAAATGTACTAAACAAGTGGTAATAGTTATTTGTGCAACTAGTGAGAAAAGTGATCAATTGACTCACTCGAGAGAAATCCTTACTCACGAGCCGTAGGCGAGTGAGGAATGGTTTCTCGAGTGAGGCAATTGTACTTTGAACTCGAGTTGCACATTATACTTTTCCTACAGTTACCATAAAACAAATAAATTGGTGAAGAAACATAACCTATTTTTACACGGAAGTGAACTTTTGATATAACATTTAATGTGAAGTGACAAATACAACAGTGCAACAGCTGACCAGCTGATTTACAGCCAGTGCTGCCAACGTATTTCACGCGCATACGACGTTGCCTGCATGTTACGCGCTCACTATTTCGTGCATTCACGTTGCAAATCTGGAGTGAGACAAAGTAATTAGAGTGAGACAATGTTAACATTGTCTCACTGATGAGCGAATTGGCCACTTTGCTTTCTCAAATCAGTGAGAGAACATGTTCATTGTTAGGTAACTGTAGGAAAAACTAGTTTAATCTGTCACATCACATGACAAATCCAGCTGTGGACTGAATAGAAACAGCTGTACATGATGTTTGCCAATAACAGTTCAATGTTGAAACATATAAACAACAAGTTAATGAAAAATTATTTTATTGCAACAAATATATTCTGTCTTAATTATGATATCAGTTTGGAAGTGGTAAATCTTAACTGCTTGGAACAAAATAAAAAAAATTATTGTTGATACAGTATTATTAGAAATAGTCATTTGTGTAACTAGTGGGCAAAGTGGCACTTTGCTGCACACGAGAGCAGCAGAATGATCTTGAGTGCAGCAAAGGCCTTTTGCACTCGTGTTACACATTATATTTTTTCTACAGTCACTATAAAGCATATAAATAATTAGTCTTTCAAACACTATACAACACGTTTTTAGGTTCAGCTGGCAACACAAATGGTGCCCTAGAGAAAGTAGTACCCGGTCCGTACCGCTATTTTTCCTCGGCAAGAAATGTGCTCCGCGTTTTGAGAATATGTTTTTGTAATTTGAAGTGGTTTCCGCGCCTAAAAAAAATGCTTTAAAAGTATTTTCTTGTTTATTAAGATCGTAGGAATGTTTTGTTTAAAAGAAAAGTCCAGAAAGTTCAGAAATACCGAAACTATAAACACTAAATGACAGGTTAAATCGTAGTTATAATAGTCAATCAGCTGCTCATAGTATTATTATCTTTAAGTGTTGCCAACCTATTTCCAAGCGTACACGGATTACGTGCATAATAGAACAACGCTGTTTTGTGTTGTTTCGTTGGAATCCTGATGTGCGGCAAAGTATAAACCGTACGACAAAGTATAAACCGTACGGCAAAGTATAAATATGCAGCAATTAGCAGCTTTCTGTACTATAAACAGTACAAGGAAGCCAACTTAGTCGGGTGACTGTAGGAAAAAATATATGTGTTACTACTGGATCTTTCAGGATCATTTCAGGTACAGCACAGGCATGGATAAAACATAGTCCCTTAGTAGATTTCCCATCCTTATGGAACAGCTGAAGCCAATTTTATTGTTAGTTCTGTCCGGTTTTCTGTAGATGTTGTGTTTTGTTTACAATTTTTTCTTGTTATTTCAGTAATTTAAAACCTTGTTTAACCAAATAAAACTATCTAATCATAAACAATAACTCATCTACTAGCTATGTAACCAAACAGTGAGACGCAAATAATGAGAAACTAACCCTAAAATAATAGAAACAAATTGTAAACAAAACATGACATCTACAGAAAACCGGACAGAACTAACAATAAAATTGGCCTCAGCTGTTCTATAAGGATGGTAAATCTACTAAGGGACTATGTTTTATCTATGGCACAGGTTAAGAAATTTAATCAATAAATAAGTCATCAATCATTGCGAAGGGGACACCACCTAGGTGCGTATTTTAACAACATATGAGTGTAGAATGTTGTAAGATGTTACTTGCAATGTAGCTTTGTAACTTTACTAAGATCAGCTGTTTCATTAGCCAGGATCATTTAGTTAAAGCCCAACGATCGGCCACAAAATCAATAATTTGTTTTATATTAAAAACATTAAACTATCTGGAGATGCTAGATATGTTCTACTTACTGTGGTCAGACAGTAGACATGGTAGTCATAGGAGCCTATGATATAAGATTTGTCCGTTGCCACAGCCGTCCCTTTAACCATCGCAGCTGTTTTAAAGCTCCATAGGATAGTACCACATGTTAAACTTATGCTGTACACATTCCCATCGTAGCAACCTGAAGATGACATGGGTTACTTATGGAGAAAAATATCTATTAACATAGAGAAAGGTTCAACCAAAATGTAATGTGTCCGAAGATTTAATTAGTATATAATGGCTTAGACGAACAAAAATTGTCTTAAATGATTTAGGAAATGTTTAATTTGTGATTTAGGAGTGTAAAGCGTTTTTGGATTATTGAACTTTTCTGTGATATAACAGTGCCAAAAATCTGTATTTTCACAAATAATGAAAAGAATATGTTTTTGAATAAAAAGCACATAATTGGTTGAATCAAAGCACTGTTTGGTCCCTTTAATACTCTGCGGCGCGCTGCACATCGCTGCGACCAACAACCGACACCAAGTTTGTGCGGCGGCCGTGGCAGTGAGGGTGCCTTTAGCGCTACCAACTTAAGGATTCTCCACTAAAAGTGATTTGTAGTACTGTAATTGAAAAAAGAGGATACCATAGTATCCTCAACCAAGTAAGTCATTCTATAACCTGAACTCTAATGCAGACCTGTATTTGAATAGTGACTTTAATTCAAATAATTATTTCCTGGATGGCCCTGGATTGTGCTAAAATAGAAACTGTGGCTAAATACAACATAAGTCGTTATATATATATATAATATATATATATTTATATTTATACATGTATTTATTTTTATTGTTACATATGTACATATATTTATTCTGGGTTACATATTGTACAAAAATGTATTTGAACTATACTGTCACTTTAGAGAAATCTATTTATGTCTAGTCTATAAAATTGAAGATGTCCGTCGGTATATAAAATAAATAAATAATTAACTAGCTTGCTTATAACAATTTAGTATAGTAACATTATTATGTGTAGTAACATAATTATTCCAAGGTGTATAAATTATGTGAATAATTATTAATTGTTTGGATCATTACCATGCTTTAAAAATGTAATTAACACATATTGCAGGGGCGTTTTGTTTTGATCATTTGGCACTACGTATTGCAGAGTATAAAAGCTCCCGTATAATGCAATGCACCTTGAGGCCACACTTTTCTACGGCTCCTTGGTGCACTGTCATGCATCTAGCCCGCTGCATGGTATAATAGCTCTCATTTAACTCAACGCACTTACAGAGCCGCAAGTCCCAATGGTGTGCCATAGTATAAAAGGGGCTTGGATCTGAAAAAGGTAATTTAAAAAGTCTCTGCATTGCTCAAACCTACATCAAGGCAGAGCTGTTATGTCAAGTTCCTAATACTTCCAACATCAATGAACTTTGTGAAAGCAAAGAGAACAATATGTCAGATCCTCTTTAATTTCAATTTTGGGTGCAGCAAGAACGTTAAATTATTGAATTTGGACATCATAGTAATCACTATTTTTCTCGGTATGTTATTCAAACTTTCTGGTAAGTTGAAACTTGTCAGTTATTACCTATTAGCCCTTGCCTCCCGCAGTGAGAGGGGACGACAGATGACTCTATTCTGTCAGGTAACTGAATTTCCCACAACAACTCTCCTTTCTCTAGACTTAGTGCTGCCAACCTTCCAGAGTGAGACCCCACTACTGCCAACCTCGAACCACTATAACCATTCCTCAATTATGATACTTATTTTATAACAGTTTGACATTTTAAAGATTAGAAATGTTAAGGTAATATGTACCAGAAAAAGTAGTCAAGTGATCTTAAAAAAGTAATTTCTCAAAATAAATAAGACCCCCGCCGCAGCAAACCAGCTGACTAAGCGAATTTCCATTTGTCTGAATATATTTTCAATTAAATCTATTTAAATAATATTAGCTTTCACGTGTACCTAGGTTTGCTGCTATAAGGAAACTAATAAAGAGTGTTTTTTACTAAAATATTAATAGCTTTAACATAAAATAAATAAATGTGCCAAGTTTGATCAAAATATATTGATAAACAAGCAAACTACAACATCCTTATATATAATACGTGAAGGCGATTTCTACGAAACACTACTCCTTCGTTAATAATGGACAGATTTTTACAACGATGTGTCAAACTGAACTATTTTTTCTGTAGATGCCCCCTTTCACCAATTCCTGTTACGAAAGTTTTCGGGCTTTGTCTTACAGGCCATAAAAATCCCAATGTATTTCTTATGAAGAAAACATTTTGTTTACTTTAACAAACAAATAATTTGTATTAATTACAGCTGTTCATAGTAAACACACGATACAAAGAAGAGCGTTCGTTTTCAGAGTGAGCTCGTTTTCAGATTTGATAACTGAAGTCGAGTGATTATACTAGTGATTACTTTATCTTTGAGTTGACTCTTTTAAGTCATCGGAAATGATGACTGTTATTTGTTTTGAAATAACGCCTGTAATACTTGACAACTGCTCGAATTCGAGCAACAGGTGCACTAGTTTTACAATATTCTCCATAAGAATAACATGGTAATTTTAAATCTACAATTTTTTAATTTTCTCCGTTACCAATAACCGTACAAAAACACTTTGATATACTAAATTATTTGTTACACCCCGTTCCCATACTCCAATCATTCTGGTTTGCGAACTCATTCAAGTTTATCCCACCTTACACCTTTGAACAAAATTTCATCAAAATCTGACAAAAATTACTAAAGTTATCGCGTTCACGGACACACACACACAAATATACAGGGTGATCACAAAAAATAACATGGTAGAACTATACAGGGTTATCAACTCAAGGAGGCCACCATTGGGATATCACAAACGGTAAGATTTAGAGAAAACTTTAAATGGGGGACATTCCTTTATTTTTTGTGGCAGTTAAAAATATGATGTAAGTTTTTTGAAATTCAGCCGCCATTTTCCAAAATGGTGGCCAACTTTGAACTCTTTTTCTTTCTTATAGAACGCTCTTATAGAACATGAAATTTAAAAACTTTTTTATTCTTGACATTTTTTCGATAAACCTACTCATTTAGGAGTTACAGCCTATGGAAAAATGACTTCTGGTGTACATTTTACATCATGTAGCTCCTAAACGAGTAAGTTTAAAAATATTAATTCTATTATTTAAAAAATGGCGGCCATTTTCCAAAATGGCGGCAAACTTGATAAGTGGAAAACTCTGTATTTTATGGTCTTTATGGAATGTTTAGATGCAATTCTAAGACTTATTTATTCTTTGCAATTTTGCTCTAAACTTACTCGTTTAGGAGCTACATGATGTAAAATGCACACAGGAAAGTCATTTTTTTCAATAGGCTGTAACTCCTTAACGAGTGGGTTTATCGAAAAAAAATGTCAAGAATAAAAAGGTTTTAAATTTCATGTTCTATCCAAAAACAGGATAAAATATAGGGAGTTCCATAAGAAATTTCAAAGTTGGCCACCATTTTGGAAAATGGCGGCTGAATTTCAAAAAACTAAAATCACATTTTTAACTGCCACAAAAAGTAAAGCAATGTCCCCCATTTAAAGTTTTCTCTAATTCTTACCGTTTCCGATATCCCAATGGTGGCAAGTTTTCTCTAATTCTTACCGTTTCCGATATCCCAATGGTGGCCTCCTTGAGTTGATCACTCTGTATATACATGGTGTTTTTGGCCTCTGGGGACATCTGTCCTGGGCGTAGGTCTTACCGTGCCACCTACAGTAATAGCTACTTCTCTATAGGGAAATTTGCTAAAAACCTAAACAACCTAAACAATCATAAAATATATTTTATTATCAACTGATCTTTCTGAAGGGTGACCATCACTGCAGAGACATTTCTTAATGAAGCTACCTATACTTTCACTTATTGGGTGGACTGGCATTAGTAAGCTGCATACCACCAAGTCACACAGGAAATTCCCATTGGTGATTTGGTAGGATTTGATCTTGAGCCTGCAGGGTAGAAGGTTATGCCCTCTACCTTTGTCACATTAATCTGATTACTATAAGAATCTTTAGAAAAAGTATTAGTAAAACATCAAATTAATTTTTAGTAAAACAAACTTACTCTCTAAATACAAGACAGGTTGGCGAAGCATCCACACATTTCCCCAAATTGTACGACCAAGCAATATTCAGTACGTTACTTTCAACCATCTCTGATAAATTATTCGTAGAGCCTTTCATTTTGAAAAACATAACATCATTTGTGTTATCTATTTTTTTCTTTTTAAACACATTCCCATCTGGTTCAGAATGGCTTTGCGTTACTCTTAATGATTGACTTCCACTGTAGGATTCAATCAGCCTACAGCTGTCAGACAAAGTTCCGTTGTTTAACATTTCTGTTAATACCGTCATTGATAGGTCAAAGCCCCGTAGAGCCATGCTGTTTACTATCAACATTGCCGTTACAGAGTTCCCTCCAATACTGAGAAATCCAGAGTCTTCTGTCACATCTTGGCAAGTATATTTTTTCCATAGATGTTTAAAAAGATCAATTGAGTTTTCATATTTCGCTTCATCATCTTTCAGTTCAGGCAGCATCATCTTTAATTTATTTTTGTTTATTTTACCTGAAAAATAAACTGAATATATAAAAAATAATGAACAAGTTGGTTGAAAACCCATAATTTTATCTGGTTGAAACAGTGAGAAATTCTCAAAATCAGATGAAAAGTGTAGTTACAAGGCAATTTTTTATTATTTTCACTCAACGATTCAAAATCATTTCTGGTTAACAAATTTGTTGCTACAGTAGAACCCCTAATATCCGGCCTCAGAAATTCCGGTTACTTCCCGGAATCGATACCATAAATATTTCCCATGGCTTTATACGCAGCCTCCATGATTTGAGCGTTCTCACGATTTATCTGTTTCCTTTTCATATACATTTTTAGCGGGTTGACGACTCAGTTGAGCTAGTACAATCCCAAAAGAGACTAAAACACTACTTTTAACCAATCACAAGTTGTTATTAGATACAAATGATCATTTTAATTTATTGGTTTTAACCGGTTCGTTTATTCGGCCAAAATGTTATCCAGTTGTTCCTAGTTTTTTTTTTTTTTTTTTTTTTTTTGTCCTATCACGCTAGGCATGAGCCTGGGGATTGTTTTTCACATTATTTCAGATTAGACCTAGGGGTTGCGGCATTATCACTTAGATAAAATCCATTGGTGATTTGGAAGGATTTGAACCCGGAACCTCAGGGACTGAAGTCCCGCGCTTTACTGTAATAGTACCATGATCTCATTTGGTCAATATCTCCAATCTCAATATCTCCACAAATCAATATCTCCTCTTACCATGTCTATTGAGTGGTAACTCATCAACCAATAGAATAACGTCTGGAACTGATGCTTTGTTTAGACGCTTCAACAGAATTTGCTTCAAACTGTCTTTGACCGTGTGTACAGCAGATGTGCCTTTCCGCAGGCATATATACAGAGCCAGGATGTCCTTGCACAGAACGCAGCAGACTGCGGCCACGTCTGTGTGTTCTGATGCGACTGCTTCTACATCATCCAGACTGACCCGATGACCCCACCTCTTCACTAAATTATCTTTACGTCCTATGTAATCATATCTGTTGTTCTTCACCTGCAACACATAGGTTTGTTCATAATCACACAATACATTAATTGAGTGTAAAATATAACTCACTGTGTTTGTGTTACCATTTCAATATTAAGAAATTTTAGTAGTGTATTTATTAAGCGTTTGGTACCTACCTGTTACTAACTTGTTAACTTTAAATATCTACAGTATAACCAAATGGCTTTTTTCCATTCATCGTTAAAATTTAATTAAAATAAAAACAATTTATTTCCCAAAAGAATATTTATTTGGTCATTAAAGATATGGAACTAGATCTTCAGATTGGTGCCTTGGGATTAGTTCAAGTTAGCTCATGATTGATTTATTATTGAATATAGCCTTATATTTTTTCATTACAAGTTGGTTTGTTGAGGGAAAGAAGTTCTAAACAGGCATTCTAATGCTCCTACAATGTCGTCATAATCACCTGATGGACATGGAAGTTGAAATGTAACACATTACAAGTATTGCAATCTATTCATACGTGTTAAAATGCTTTTATTCAAATCATATCAAATGGGTTCACATTGATAAAATGGTTAATATTTTGTTTAAACTTAATAGCGGATTAACTATCTAATACATGTTTTATTCAATCCAAGCAAAGCTTTCAAAACAGTTTTTCAAAACTAAGTACAAACCCACTAAGCGAATTTCCATTTACCAGGCTGGACTTCTACTAAAATATTCCCTTAAAAGTGTTAGATTTATTTCCTATTTAAACAACATTAATTTTAATGAAAACTTAGGTTTGCTGCTACAGGTAGTGTATTGAAGTGTGTTTTTATTGAAATATTGATAGCTTAGTAATAAGTATGAAATAATAAAATGGCAAAAATTGGATTATTACAATTTTTAAAAATATCCATAAACAAGCAAACTACAACAGTTTATTTATTCTCCATAAAAATAACATGGGAATTATAAATTTACATTTTTTGTTATTATCTACATAACCATTAGGCATACAACAACCCTCCAATGTACAAAATTATTTATTTTCTTAACACCTTCGCTGCTGACCGCTAGATGACTGGACGGCGCAAGGAGCTTAACTAACGTTCGCCGCTACGTAACATTGCAGCACTACCCAGGTTGCAGTCGGTAAAGTAATGTCGCTATCTAGCAGGAAAGAGGTGAGACAAAGCCCTGTTCTCAACGACCCTGGTGGTGATTTTGGGGAAATATATTTTTTATTGTCAGAAAAGTATGTCTGCACGCCCACGAGCTGCAAAGAAATATAGGACCCTCATGACGAGCTGGCTGATCCATGGAACTTTAAACAACAATGAGCGGTGACGTTCCAAAACGTTCCTAGCTCCTGGCGCCGTAGCCTGGCTGACGTTCCGGAACTTCAGTAGCAGCGAATGTGTTAAGCTCTACAAAATGATATGAAAGAAAATTGTGAAACTTTGCGTTTTTCTTGGGTTACTTTAGAGAACGTTTTCTGTCAATAAAATATGTGTACCCAATTTTTACCTCATAAAACCCCCCATAAACCCCTGTTCCCATAGTCCGATCATGCTGGTTTACAAACTCGTTCGAATAAACGTAGGTTTACACGTTTGTACCAAATTTCATCAAAATCAGACACTTTTTGCTCGAGTTAACGTGCTAACGGACACGTATAAATATATGAATTTGAACGGAAGGTGTTTTTGGCCTCTGGGGTCCTCAAACGAAAAAGTAAATCGGTCCCGGGTCTAGGTCTTACCATGAGACCTACGGTAATAGCTTATTCCCTATATGGGAAATTCGCTAAAACTGGACCCAGCTGTCCTTGAGCATTGGACTTTTAATAAATGGTCCTGTCTAAAGCATTAGTTGATCTAAGTTAGTAACAAAGCTGTCATCTTATTCATTCAACACTGTGATTCACACACCCCAGTGTGTTCATGTTGTACTAACCATGATCAGCTGATTATTTTGCAGGACTATTTATTAAAAGACAGCTGCGTCCACTGTCAAACAACATTCTTACATTCTGACCTTTCTAAAGATTAAACCATCAAGCTCTTGATTACAAAGTGAGCACTATATCCATTTAGATATGCCTCATTGTCCAAGTTATAGCTCCAATCATATGACTGATTATGGTCCATTCATACTTAAATTCACTGGCGCTTAACAAACCCAAATAGGTGCAAAACTGGTTTAACAGAGTAGCCGACATTTACAGAGGTCTTTCATGCCAACTACTTTGTTCTTTGAGGACTTTAAAGAAGATACTCAGTATGCAAATGCACCGGTTTTCACCTTAGAAGTAAAGCTGTAAGAGGTGACGAATTAATATATTTGTTGGTAATTGTCATATAAATAATTCACTCACAGTAACCAAGTCTCCAGTTGGTCTAAAAACAGGAGATGTCATCTGGTCCCAAATATCACCTTCTACCATGCAGATCCTAGTTTTGCTGCCTAAACATTACAAACTAGTTATCCTAGTTCTAATAGTGTCAAATAACAGCTTACTCCTAATATGAGTTAACAAAAAGAAAAATATTAATCAATGTATCTACTAATCAATCCAAAAAAGCTATAATTTGGTTTAAAATCCTTTTCTCTCCGTTAGATTTTGTTACTGTGACAGGTGAGGTAACTTAAAAGACGTTACAGTTAACAGTAAGAAGTCTTTTCAGTTTTGGCAGAAGTCTGTAATTTGCATCTGTACACTGAATTGGTGGCTTCGAGTGGTTCAAATCAACTATTTCCATTTTCATTCTTACACCTGGTAAACATGGGAATGGAATGGAATGTCAAGTTTTACAGTGGAACATTATAATAGGTGAAAAAATCCTTTCTGATTATTTTTTTAGTTTTTAAATTCTGTTACTGATATATTTGCAGTGGTACAGTATTTGCGCGTCAAAGTCAAACGCACTTAAGTCACCGTACAGTCAACAACTAAACCCCCCCCCTCTCCTTCTTCTACCCCTTCATCAACACTACGCTTGATCTGACCTTTATCACACCTATTGTCAGCCGTCTGTTGTTAGTGTGCGTGTGTTTGTCACTTTGCTAAAATCAACTTTTACTGAATGTAATTTAGGGGTTTATGGGTTCAATTAAACCTCTTATACTGCATTGACATTCTAAAGTATTTAGTGATTTTAAAAATCACTAAGCTAATACAGTGTTAGCTGTTTTTAACATTCAACGTAGTGTCAAAAATAACACACAAAAACATTAACTACACAAATAAATAAAATGCAACAATTAAGTTAAGTGATTTACTTACTTTTATTTGAAATAAAATTTATAAAATAAGTTTAAGTTAGCCTAACATTTTAATCAAAATATACAGTGTTCAAGGATTGAAAGACGTAAAGTTAAATTTTATCATAAAGGAAAGAGCCTAGCCTATGTAGTTTGTAAATAAATGTAATAAAAAAACTAGGCATAGTCTACCTAAAACTGAAACAAAAAACTTAGATTCATAAATTTTAAAAACATGGTGATACTACAATTTGATTGCTTATTATTAAGAGGCCTACCAGATTTCACTTTCTAAATGCTTAAAAATAGTGTTTAGAAAAGTTAATTTTTCAAAATTTCCCTCGGACCCCTTCTTTCTCATTGGGGTATTCCATTCCTCCCAGACCCCCCCTACACGGTATCCCCCCCTACACGGTATCCCCCCTTTAATGAAGGTCTATCTACGCCACTCAAGTTCTATGCATAGACAAAGGTTCCACGCACAGGCCCTTGAGGCCCTAGTGGATTAGAAGATGTAGGCTATAAGGTTAAAAGAGGCTACTATTCTAAACAAATAAAAATAAACTGAGCACTTTAAAAAAATGACTTTTGTAGTCAGTTTCGAGAGTCTAAGGTCTAACAACTCATATTTCCTTGTAACCTCACCAATGTACATCTCTCCAGTACCGTCAGTGATAGTTCGTCCCTCGCTGTCCACGACCCTCAGCTCAGTGTCTGTCAAAGGTGAGCCCAGCGAGCCGTCCGTCCCAGACCCCATCATGGCCCAACACGACACCTCCGTGGTGCCGTACAGGTTGTACAACTGTGTACGGTTACCGTCCGCACGACACTGCAGCCACCACGACCCTGGTGGAAACTTGTCTCCACCTAGCACAAAACAATTAATTTATTTACCCTCTAATATTACAGAAATCAGGAATTCTTTACTACAATTTCTCGTGAAAATGAAAAGGGTGAATTAACTTTTTTGATCTGAATCAGGCTCGATTCTAGACTAGGATGCCACTTGTCACTGGGCTACCAACAAAAGGTCGAAAGTTTGATAGTAACAAGACTAGAGTTTGGATTGTTTCCTAAGGAAAAAAAGGCTAGTGGTGTAGATACATACAAAATGAAAATTATAGCATTAAACACATTTTTGAGCCAGATGGTGGCATGTTTTTAATTTCAGTGCACATTTTCTTATGTAAGGGTCTTACTTTCAGCCAGTCGGTTAGTGATGCTTTCTGTTCATTTCGAGTGAGATTCTTTATTTGGGCAAGCAGTAGGTTTAAACATCTAGAGGGTATATGATAATCTTTTTCTCGATGTCTTGTGGTTATGAGTGGGTAGGGAGTATTCTGAAGCATGGTAGTTGAGGTGATCAAGGGAAAATACTGTGATTATTTTCTGTTGTAAATTGTTTTTTACATTAACTTTGAAAACCCAAATTATTCTCTTTTGCATTCTCACTCCATTGCAAGGCACACAAGTACACTTACTAGTGCTCATCAAATTGTATGAATATTTCAAATCTTTTTTGTTTAAAAGTCAGTGATACACGTTCTAAAAAAATACCTTCTGAACTTTTGTATTTAGCCACCCACAATCAAATAGGCTACTCAATAATTTCTACCATTAATCCCCATTTACTTGATGCCAGAGCAGGCAGGTTACCTTCCTCTAATGTATTTTAAGTCACCTGAAGCAGGTAGCCTTGTCCTGCCTGTATACTGGTTTTCTTTAAACAAGGCTTTAGACCAACCATTTATCTAGCAAACGTCTGATAATTCACTATTGCACTAAGAATACATAAAATTAAACAATTCTACAAGCTTGTTATTATTGATAGTAGAAACATACCTAATGCAAGAACCCTCAAATTGCTGTCTTCCGACAAGATCCGAGTTCTAATCTGTTCCACGCTCCATCGAGTGAAGATAGAAGGTGTGAGTTGAGCAATTGTCACAAGTGCGGGAGAATGGACGGGAAAAACTGTTTCGAGCAGATAGTGGGGGGACAATCGCACCTCAGGGCTGACAAGTAGGAGAGCAGCTCCTGATACCACAGCCAGCAACAGATCTACCATGAACGGGTCAAAAGATGGCGGGGATGCCAGCAGGATCACATCATTCTCCGTTACATTCCAAAGACTTCTAAACATGAAACAAATAATAAGTAGAGTACCCTCTGATTTTGGCTGTGTTTAGTGGAGAGAAAGAGAAAGAGGAGGAAGAGTTTTGAGTCAACCTCCAAAGACTTCTAAAAATAAAAAAGAAACAAAAACTTAAAACTAAATAGAGTACATGGTTACAACTTAAGGATATTAGTAATTATGGTTTGAAGAATATTAGAATATTATGGAGAGAAGAATGGTAGAAGAATAATAGCATGCATCCTTACTCCAATCAAAAGTCTACCAGTTCAACCTCAACCAGCCAAAATCCCAATTTATCCTCTTTGAGGTTCGTTAAGGTTTGATTTACCCAACTCCTCTTTGTTATTGAATTGTATAAAACTCTGTAATTAAACATCAAATTAGATTAAACAATCGTGATTTTGCCAACACCTTTAAATCATTAAATCATAAAACAAATCTATATCTATAAAAGAGAAACTATGTATGTATATATGTGTATATACGTTATGGACTCCGAAACCGCTCGACAGATTGTAATGAAACTTTCAGGCATTATTAAGCATCTTTCAAGGATGGTTCGAGTGAAGTTTGGTGCAGATCGGTCAAAAGGGCTCTGCCCCAGAGGGTTTTAAGTGGGCCAATGTCAGACTTTTTGATCTAGAATGTTAACAAATAAATATAATTTAAAAGCAGATGTTTACTTTCACCAACTGTTTTGTAAGTTTGAATAACTACAACATTCTGTATTAGCATTAGTCATGATTTGAAATAGTGCCACAGTGTTTCTACAGATTGCAGCACAGAAAACTATTTTACTTTTGAATAAGTCCAAATGTATTAAACCCCAATCGCAGCACACCTGTGCACTTAACAACGTTTAAATTCTCCAATGTTAAATATTAAAACATAAAAACCTTTATAAAAGTACTGTATTATAACCAATAAAAGGGATGACTTTTTTAAATGTATGACAACAGCTAATTTGCAACCAAAAGGTGAGTGAGCGTAGCTAACGAACATCAACCTGGAGGCGAGTAAGCGTAGCGAACGAGCTAACCTGAAAACAAGTGAGCGCAGCGAACGATTTCCAACCTGAAGGTGAGTGAGCGTAGCGAACGAACTTCAACCAGGACGTGATTGAGCCATGCGAATACTTATGAAGTTAAGCGGGGCAAAGCCCGCGGGTACAGCTAGTTCTTAATAAAATATTAATAAATGTACAGATCTGTTATGTTATATCTTAATATTTAAATAGCTTAGTCTTCCCGTTCAACAGCCAAACTCCCGCACCAAGCATTCTAATCAAACTGGTGGTAAATCCTTGCATAGGGTTAAGATTTTTTAAACTTTAAACAAGATAGTAATGCAGCCTGATTCACGTAGGATACAAAAAAAGAAAAACTTACTTAAGATCTAAGATATTTGGAAGAATAGATTTCTCAGTAACTTGTACTGTTTTAGGTTTTCCTGTTGACCCTGACGTTTGTACAGCATACATCATTACAGGAATGTCCATTGTCCTGTAGAAAATTTCACCTGCAAGACATTCAAATGGTATCATCAAGCAAAAAAGCACAAATTGCCCAGGATGCCAAATTTAAAATATTTTTTAATACAGTATTTTGCTTTGATTTGTTTGCTATGAGTATGAAAATACCTAAAAACAAATAAATTTCAATCAGTATAAAAATGGTTTATGTTACCTTTTGCGTCAAACAATCCATGTGCAGTTAATTTGTTTTTTATCTAACGTTCTTCTGACAATCTGAAGATGTGCCCAAGGGGCATGAAACAGCTGTAGTTGCACTAAATGCACACGGATCATTTGACACAAAATGTAACATAAACCATTTTTATATTGCAATTTACAATACAGAGGCTTACCCACCATGAAATTTCAATCAGTAGCAAATTTTCAAATAGTGTTAAATCTTGTTTTCGGATGTTAAGTTTTCCGAGGGAGGGTCCCCAAACACCCCCCCCCCATAAAAAGGGAAGGAAGCGCCAAAGCTGTTTGCACCTCAGGGCGATACTCACCCTACACCCTGGCCTGCAAACCATTAGATCAGTTCTAATGATACATAAACACATGTAGGCTACAGCTGGATTTGCTGTAAACACTATGGAGATTGATAAGCCACAGATCACTTTACGACACTCCCTGAATGCAATAAGTAATTATTTATGGTTTTTTAAGTGCAGTTAGTTGACTCTCCACAGACCTGGGAGAGAGTTGGATTACAAAAATCACTACCAAATTAACTTAATAAGGTAGCTCAGAAAAGTCTATGGAGTGCCTTAATGTTCTGTACTCTTCAACTAGTGGTGGTTGATATGAACCATTATCTCATACTTGGAAAGCTTCGAGATGAATGCACAACAGCAAATTTAAAGATGGCTCCAAAACTCTTAACAATCCAGCCAGGCTAATTAGAAAATATTAACTTTCATGAACCAAACAATAGTATTTACTTCTCTTCAATTTACATTTTCCTTTTCTATTAAGGTAAGACATCAGAGCTTGTTTATCAGGTTAAATATTTTGCGTTATTTTTTGCAAAATCACAAAGAATGCCACGATTTGTTAACTCACCAGTTTCCCACAGCTGTATTTTCATATTCCATATGGAAAACTGTGCAACTACATGAGGTGATTTTAAGACATACTTCAACTTTTCACTTTGTTCATCTAAAAATAAATTTGTTATATGCAAATTTTCTATGAGACGTTTATTGAAATCCGTTTGGTTTTCAACATCAATATACACTATTGGTCTCTCATTCTGTAGACACCTGAAAATAAATTAAAATTATAATAGGTACCATAGTAGGCTATAACTATCTTAGTTAGTAATGAGGACAATTCAATTGAGGTGGGTTTTCAATTTATTAAGGTGAGTTGAAATTAAACAAAAAATTCTTTATTTTTTCAGGCAAAGCACAATATGATGCCTAATAATAATTTTGACGTTTAAAGGTGTTTTTCTTCAATCAAAAAGGAAAAATGCTACCTTTAAGGGGTAATATATGCTTATATTGGTTATTTATGTTTTGTTGGTAAAATGTGCATCCAATCTCAAAGCCAAGCATCTTACAGAAAATATTACAGTAAATGCAGTAGATTAGCCTACAATGTTGCATCGCAATATGTCAACATTCGCTAACCTTAGCACTTTTTCAAAAGTAAGAACGCAAAAGGTGAATGAATGAATGAAATAATATGTTTATTTTCCACAAAATACATACTTTTTATACGTAACGATTACAAATATAGGTAAACTAAAGCTAAAATAAATACCCCCGCCGCAGCAAACCTGCAGACTAAGCGAATTTCCATTTGCCTGATTGGATTTACACTAAAATGTCTCCTTAAAAATATCACATTTATCCCTATTTAAATAGAATCAGTTTAACACATACTTAGGTTTGCTGCAACAGGGAGGGTAAAAGTGTTGTTTTATGTAAAATGTTAATTGTTAGTAAGAAATAAAAACATGTTCCAAATTTGGGCAAAATATAATAATAAACAAGCAAACTACAACAGTTTACTTATTCTCCATAAGAATAACATGGGAATTTTAAATTTGCAATTTTTTGGAATTTTCTCCGTAACCATTAGGCGCATTATAACGCTTCAATATACTAAATTATTTGTTTTTTTAAGCTCTACAAAATAGTTTAGAAGGAAATTGCAAAATTTGATGTTTTTTGGGTCAAAAATGGGAAAAACCCATTTTTACCCCATAAAACCCCCCATAAACCCCCGTTCCCATGGTCCGATCATGCTGGTTCGCGAACTCGTTCGAATAAACGTAGGTTTACACGTTTGTACCAAATTTAATCAAAATCGGATCATTTTTGCTCGAGTTATCGCGCTAACGGACACATATATATATAAATATATATATATATATATATGAATTTGAACGGATGGTGTTTTTGGCCTCTAGGGACCTCAAAACGAAAAAAAAAATCGGTCCCGGGTCCAGGTCTTACCATGAGTACTACGGTAATAGCTTATTCCCTATATGGGAAATTCGCTAAAAGATAATTTCTGTATTAACTTATTTAATTTTTTTTAGAAAATCAGCAGACATAGGCAAACAGCCTGTCTGCTGGGATGCTATTTAAAAAATAGTAAAACAAATCATCAATAAGGTAAGGAGGAACATTTGAAATATGAATCGATGAATAAAAGGGTACAGTTTCGCAGAGATCCAGCAATATTTTATTGGTTTGAATATTGATCCTACAGCAATTAGAATTTGGTTCCATACAGCTGAAAAATTATTTTTCTTGATGTAAATATTGAATTGAGTTATGATATGTTCACCTTTTTATTGGTGTTTAATTAATGTAAACATCAAATTGAGTATCTATCTATATATTAATAGGCAAGCATGTTTCTTTAAAACCTTTTTTCTCAGCTCGTGTGCATCGTAGGGAAAATCTACGCATACCGTTGGAAAGCTATTTTCCTGTAGGTGTGCAGAATCCCTTTATAAATTTAAATAGGCTCAAAGATAAGCACAAAAAATAAGTTTAAAAGTTGTAAAAAATTAACATGGATCTTAATGCGTTGCTATGCTGGTTACGAAATAACAACGAAATATAAACAGAAAATCAAAACAAATGGAGGAAACTCCAATCACATGTTTTATTTACAGTGTGGGGTGAAAATAGTTAAGTGAGTACATTACATATTTTTGGTCGAGTTTCGACCACTGGACGACCTCTCGTACTAAGTTAATGGTCTGGTGTAATAAATGAAAGTAACTTATCAATCATTTATTCAATCAAAAACAAAATATATTCTTTGAACATTAACAAAACCAACAATAACCAAAACTTACTGATATGATTACCACATTGGGTTCGAAAATGTATAGTTTCTTTCATTTGTAGTAGTACAAATTTAGAATAAAATCTATGATAAAAAAGTAACAACTTTATTTTATTTATTTTTATATATTTATATTTTCAGGCTATTTTTATATTTACTTTTCAGGCTTCAACTGATTAACTCAATAAGGATTTTGCGGGGGAAGTGTGAGACCAAAATAATGTTTAATTGATTCCTAGAAAGATGCACGTGAGGTACTGTTACTCCTAAAACTGCCGGCTGTCCGTATCACATATTTTTCTAAACTGTAAAAACAAATGCGCATGGAGGAAGACTCTGTGGTGTTACTGATGAAAAGTTAACATTAAGTAGCTTGTAGTTATCAAAACCACGAACAAAAGAGAGTAAGTTATAATGACTAAAAACTCTAAATAAGGGATGAGCATTGATGGTAACATCAATGTAGGCTACCGATAACATCGTCGAGAAAACATCAATGTGTTTTTTTCAGTTTTTCGTCTGCTCCCTGTACTGTAACCGCCACGAATACTAGAAAAAACTGGTATGGATCATAATTTAACAAATTTGATGTTTTGGCCCGAAAGTAAACTAAACTCTTGTACTAATAGCATTAATTAACAGTCATTTATGTCTATGATCCATACCGGTACTTTTCTAGTATTTGTGGTAACAGCTAATTAACCTAAAACTTAATATACAATTCAGTCATGGAAAACATCGATTAAGTTATTTCAATACTTGCAAAAACATTGGTATGATGGAAAAAAATTGACTATCGATGCTCATCCCTACCCTAAATCTTATAAAATTTATTAACATAATAATATGTTAATATATGTATGTCAACATAATAATATGCCATTGACGATTCCCCTGTCTACAAGGACGGCGGAGAAGACATCGATGGTAAATGGTAAATGGTATATAGCCTAGGCCCTAACATTTTGAAATGGCCGCTGAATCAAGCAAACAAATTTCTTAGCTAACGTACAGTTAGTGGTGGGAATCACCAAATGAAAATAACCGAACCAATTCGTTATTGATGCTGAACAGACTAATTTGGTTATTTTATCCTGATTTGGCTAAATTAGTCTTACCGATTCGGTGATTTAGTTATTTAGCCTAAACTTAGTTGATTTAATTCGTCACATCATCAGGTAACTAAAATTTATTCGGCGATTCGTTCGACTAAAAATTACCGATTGACGCTAAGTGACTAAATGCTAGCCTATTCAGTTTGCCATAAGAAAAAATTTGTTGTAGTTTGGGCCAAACTAAGTTTGGGGCAGTGAATAATGACTAAAATTGATTCGGTGATTCAATCAACTAAAAATATCCGATTGACGCAAAAAGTAACTGAAAGATTATTCTGTCCTGGAAACCATTCAGTTATCCCATCACTAGCTACAGTTACGAGTAAAACATGGGCTAGGCTAATTAAACATAATAAATCTCACCCTAAAATAAGAGTTGGCAAACATAAATTCTGCTTAACACATATTCCTACATAACCAGTATGTATTGTAGTCACTTTAGTTTTATCTAAATAATCGCCAATTAACTTAACTTCAACTTCTAAATCTTTATAATTTTTGTAACAAAGATTTTCATCTTCAACATAAAACATGAAAACTTTATCTAAGTATCTGACCAAACTTGTTTGAAATAAATTTGTAAAAAGCATTACAATTTTGGAACACTCCAATGTAATCAGATAATAACAAAATTGCTTAATTATCTTGCAAAATAATCAAAATCAATACAGTAGCTTTTAGGTTATACGTTTGTTTATGTGAGGTTAGGTTTGTAAATTGTAGGTTTGTTTCTTGGGTTTTGACAACCGTCGTCTCACCGGTGGGGCACACGGGAGAGACTAAGGCTAACATATCTTGTAGTGTCAGCGTTCGCCGCTAGAACTGTTAAGTTGAAATAATTTAATTTTTTTTTAATTTTTAGTTATAAAATTAACTTTTTAATTATAAAATATTGTTTCAAATTATAAAATAATTTTTAATTTTTAAAATTAAACTGTCTTAACATAACCTAACCAACCAGACTTGCTGATAATTTAATAACTATATAAGATAAAAATCTAATTAATAATTACTTATAATTTTTAATTAATTATAAAATTAATTTTAAAATTTAGTATTATAAAATTAAACTGTCATAACCTAACCTAACCAACCAAACTTGCTGATATGAAAAATTTGTTGACAAAAAGTTATAGCTGCCAGAAGGATTCGAACCCGGGACCTCCTGAACACCAATCCGAATCGCTACCAACTATGCCACGAATGCCGCTGAAATCACATCGTTTCGTTACGGTAATCGTGTCGCCTCAAGAGAAGACATTAGCCACTAGATATATGACGTCACTACACCTTTAGCCTTAGTCCCTTCCGTGTGCCCATTCCGTCGTCCCACCGCAGTTTGTAATAAAAAAATTGTTTATCTTATTTGCTTGAAGGCAGGCTTATATTATATGCAGCCTCGTTGTGCACTAATTTATTTGACGATTCTGTGGTTTTCATTAGAGTTTGGCGAGTTTTTGTTAGTATTGACTTAGAATTGTTGAGGATAGGCTACTGTTTTAGTTTGGTGGTAAATTTAAATTTGGTTTTGTTTTTTTTTGTCAGATAATAGGCCTAGATGGGATTTAGTAGGATTCTAAGGCCATGATAGGATAGTTGGGAGAGGGGTTGGGTTGGAGTCTTCTCGCTTGTGGGCTGTCAAGCATTTCTATCCCGAAAAGGAGGCCCATGGATGAAGAATCCAAGGATTGGAATGAATTATGTGAGTGTTTGTGTTTGGTTTTGTTTTTTGTTTAAATTGTTCTCTTTATGTGTATGAGGAAATCTATGATTTCTTGATATACTGTGGAGTCGGTAGTTCTGAGAATTTCTAGCAGATAGTTGGAGCTGTTACATTTCTGTATTATCTTCTGTGTTGATTTAAAACATCTATTCCTGGCTGATTCATGTGCTGGGCATTCAATAATCAGGTGTTCTACTGATTCATTGCGGCCCATTGTGCAGTTAAGGCAGAGTGGCGTAAAATACTTTTTAATGAGGAATAGAGATTTATTCACATTTATATGTCACAAACATAGTCGACACATCGTGATAATGTCCTTTCTTTTTAATCTTGAATTTCGGAACCATGTGCATTTGGGAACTGTATCTACAATTCCCTTGTACCAGTTACCTTTTTCGGAAGTAATAAATAACTTGTTATGTTGGCTGTGGTAGAGTGTATTTAGGTAGCTCTTAAAATCGTCAATAGGTACTAACAAATTGTCTATTACGGTACCATGGGTAGTAGCTTCCTTTGCTAATTTATCAGTGGTTTCATTGCCCATGATGCCACAGTGGCCAGGAGACCAGTGTATAAGGACCTGAACAGGAATAAATCTGGTGGTTGTGTAACCTGAATTGGAAACCTCATACACTATATCCATTACGATGCCCTCTACATCACAGTTTTGATTAATTTTGTCTATGGCTGCTATGGCTGATTGTGAGTCTGAAAATATTACAAAGTTACTATCAGGGAGCTGGTTAATAAATTGAACTGCTTTCATATGGCTGAGTTCTGCGTAAAAGCTTGATATACAGTGTGTAAATTAAGTATGGAAACAAATCTGTATTTTTAAAACCGAAATAGATAGAAATATTCTATTTGTGGCAATAATAGTTAACAAAGATTCCGCAATTTTTCACATGAAACATATTTTTTTACCCCCCTAACAGGGTAGGTGGTAGGGGGTGACTTATTTTTTTCAAATAGCAACCCCTATGGAGTGACCCCTCATTTTGAAGGGTTTGTCAAAAGAAACACAATGACGCAAATCCGAGGTGAATATCTCACTCCTAGCTAACATGGCGGATATTCCAAAATGGGCTTTTTTTTACAAAAATTAAATTTTTCATTACCCACCATTTAGGCTAGGGGTGAAATATCTACCTCGGGTTTGCGTCATTCTTTTTCTTTTAACAAACCCTTCAAAATGACGGGTCACTCAATAGGGGTTGTTGTTGAAAAAAATAAGTCACTCCCACCCCCTACCCTGTTAAAGGGGTTGAAAAAATATTGTTGATTAAAAAAATTGCGGAACCTATGTCAACAATCAATTCCACAAACAGAATATTTCTATCTATTTCGGTTTTAAAAATACAGATTTCTTTCCATTATTTGTGAAATTGGTGCTTTTCACGTACAATAAATCAAATTTTGGAATATCCGCCATTTGGGCTAGGAGTGAGATATTCACCTCGGATTTGCGTCATTGTGTTTCTTTTGACAAACTCTTCAAAATGAGGGGTCACTCAATAGGGGTTGCTATTTGAAAAAAATAAGTCACCCCCTACCACCTACCCTGTTAGGGGGGTAAAAAAATATTTTTCATGTGAAAAATTGCGGAATCTTTGTTAACTATTATTGCCACAAATAGAATATTTCTATCTATTTCGGTTTTAAAAATACAGATTTGTTTCCATACTTAATTTACACACTGTATATGTTGAGTTTTTGTTTGCTGTTTTCCTCCCTTCCCATAGAATTTTAGGAATAATGCAGATACTAAATCTAATCGTAATAAACAGTTTCCACACTCCAGCGACTGCTCACCTTTACTACATCCTTAATCACTTCCTACGTCATGGACCTCAAGCTAGTGTCGTCATTTGATTATATTTATGATCCATACCGTTTCTGTTCCAATATCTGTGGAATAATGCTATCAGCTATTTCTTTATCTACTGCATTCAAAAGTCAACAGCTGATCATATGTCTTTGTTTATGTGTCAAATACTGCTTCCATAAGGATTTACATTGAAATTTTGAGACCCAGTGGGGCGGATTCCTGAGGGACTTTTTTAATGCTATATAGATGTTGGCACTCACCGATATGGTCTTTATCATCATGCAAAATTTGAAAACAATTGATTCAGCCGTCTAGGAGGAGTTTGCGTATTCGAAATGCATAAGTCGACGTATAAGACCTTCGCTCGCTCCGCTCAATTATGTAACGAAATAGCACAGATTAAAATTTTTGTTTAAATGTGTTATTAAATCTTGATATTCAAGTACAACAAAAGCAAAAGATAATGGTAATTTTAAATTTTAAAATCAAAATAAAAAAATCAAAACTGAATTAAAGTAGCCTATAGTATATTTTTCCTCAAGTAATAAATCAATGTGAATGTCTTTGACACCAAATTGTGTTTTTACCCCCTCCACCACTTCCTACTATCTGCAATGAATGTTGGGCGTTCTGATCGTGGAGTTTATGGGTAATTTCCCAAGATTCTTTACTACTTTTGTATTTGTATTGTTGCATGAAATTAGATAGAAAGAGCACATAATTAAAAATTATCAGCCCGCAAATTAGTGTATAGTATTTTAATGCACTGTTTGATGATAGTGCCCAGAATAATCTCGCATGGTTCAATGTCTATTCTCTTATTAAATCTGCCATATTGGATTTTTATAACTTAGCATAACACACTCTTATGCTGAAAAATACATTCAAATCTAGGAATGCCGGTATCCCTAAAGAAAATTACACCTAAGATTTCTTAAAATACTATGATTATTACCAGACATCTCATAATTTACAAATGTAGTTTCAATAATTATGTACCTTAGGCCTATGTTATCTATGCTGATAACCAAGGTTGAACTTCACTAGGTCCAGACCTAGGTTAACACAAGTTTAGGCCTACCTGTCAAGGTGATGTTACCTTACCAGTAGAAAATGCACTTCTAGGCAGTAGGCTTTTCATTTTTTATTTGGTTCAAACTAGCCTATAGGGGTTGGTTGGTTACTTATTGGATGGGGCGTCAGGCAGTTACTCTCATAACCTACTTAAACTAACCAACCAAACTTGCTGATAATGAAAAAATCGACTGAAGGTTAAAATCTGCTCATAAAATAAAATTATAGATGCCAAAAATTCTAACAAAAGATGTACAGTTAAGAAGAAATGGAATTCAAAGCAAAATCTGTCAAAAAGTTAAAAGTTACCAATGTGATTCGAACCAGGGACCTCTTGCATGTCAGCCGAGCACTCTATCCATTACACCACAAACACCGATGGCTGTACATCATATTGTTGTGGTAATGGGGTTACGGGCCCCCTCAACCCAGTGACGTCACTGCCGGACGCATATCCTCTGTGTATTTATTAAGTTACCTTTACATTTTTTTAAATGTAGGTAACTTACGTACAACCCCATGGACCAATTTGTTATTCAGAAATAACCGAATACTAGAATAAAACCTGGTATGGATCATAAACATAAACAAATGACGTTTTTGGCCCAAATCCTTACTTATAGCATTAACCTTCCGAGTGTCCATAGTTTAGGCCTTAATGTCCGCCTATTTTTGGCGCATTTGCAAGGTTTTATTAAAACGGATCTGAAAAGCTTAAAACAATGTTAATTCTACTGTTCTATATACCATTTTGTTTGGAAAATCATGGGCTTCAATATCATACATAAAACCTAAGGAATATTTGTTTAAAAAAAAATTTTTTAGGTAAAAATAAAAATTATTTTGGAAAAAAAAAAATAAAAAATAAGTTCGCGCTCAATGAAATTGTATAAATTATAGGCCTATAAATATTTGAAAATAGCCACTTTGTTCTAAATTTTATGAGGATTACAAATATATAATAATATAAGGAAGTAGATTTGCAAATAAATAAGTTATGGGCAAAAAACAGATTTCAGTACATAGCGTTTAGCTAAGAATGCATAGCCTAACCATAGCTAGGAATCTGGCTGATAATTTACATCAATATCACTACCTACTTCTTCAGGATCATCAACCAGCCCTTCAAAATCACTTAAATCTTCTTATAATGCACCACGTATATCACTACTTTTGATTTTTAACACTAAAACAACGATAAACATAATGAAACACATCAGTCATCGGTCCGAGGTTAACTAACCTGTTTACAAATACGCACGTCAGCTGTCTGCTACAATTACGATCGGCTCGGAGAACATAAAGCGCTAAGAGACAGACCTCTGGAGAAAGCTTAGAATATAATGAAAAGAACGATACCAAACTCGATCCAGTTCAATCCGATTTTGTCAGTCATAGAGCCTTCGCCGTAAACAGTGTTTGTGAGTCGCTGCAGCGACGCATGACACTCGGAGGGTTAACATATGTTTTTGCAGTTTCATTTAAGATTTAAATACCCTAATGTTTATTTTCGGGCCAAAAACGTCATTGGTTTATGTTTAGCCCAAATGATCCACACCGGTTCTTTTCTAGTAGGCCTATTCGTGGATATAATTTATTGACTAAGTCATTTTACAGCGAGTGATCAACAGTAAAATTTCAACTTTTTTCCTTTATTTCCGACAACTTGTACTTACTATGGTTGTTGATTTTACACAGTAGGCCTAGTGTTGTAGTCATAACTAAAATTTCTAAGTGCGGGAGCGCTCATCATGCTTAAGCTACTATCGTCTACGAAAAAATACAAGTTTCTTATTAGCCTAAGTTAGTAAGTTAATGAAATGTATAGGTACTTCGGTAATTAAATTTACAAGTTCAACAAGGCCAATATATAATAATTTTATTTAATTTTAAATAAAATTACTATACAGGGTGAAACCGAAGTTAGTGTTGAAAATTTGTATGTGTTAAACTACTTAGTATTCTAATTTAGATTTCCATACCCTCACAGGTAGGGAATAGCAGACAAATTAATTTTTTTCATTGTAATTTTCAGAATCCTCATTAAATTTACAATCTATCTATCTATATATTAATAGGCAAGCATGTTTCTTTAAAACCTTTTTTCTCAGCTCCTGTGCATCGTAGGGAAAATCTACGCATACCGTTAAAAAGCTATTTTCCTGTAGGTGTGCAGAATCCCTTTATAAATTTAAATAGGCTCAAAGATAAGCGCAAAAAATGAGATTAAAAATTTGAAAAAATTTACATGGATCTTATGCGTTGCCATGCTGGTGACGAAATAACAACGAAATATAAACAGAAAATCAAAACAAATGGAAGAAACTCCAATCACATGTTTTATTTACAGTGTGGGGTGAAACATAACATAAGTGAGTACGTTACATATTTTTGGTCGAGTTTCGACCACTGGACATTACTCGTACTTATTTAATACGCAAGCAGGTTTTTTGTGACAATTACTCCTCCGAAACTACTGAACCGATTGACATATTTTTGGTGTCATTGGAAAGAGCGTAGCGTGAAGTTGTGCAGGAAACTTTCTTTTTAGGGAAATAATTAGAAAGTGAGGCATTGGGGCCCTTTAAATTTTCGTATTTCTCCATAAGATTAACATGGGACACAAACATTGTTATGAAACTACAGCTGTTGTCAGAAATGCTGTTCTGCTATTTAATTTAATTTGTTTACAAGGAGAATTTTTTCTTGGTGCCATGTGGTCAATGAATTATACGGGAGTATGTTTTATCTATGATTATATTTTTGCATATATTTTAAATTCTATACACTTTAAAAAATGATAGTACTGTAATACATTAAGAGATCTTAATTTAAATAATCAATAAGCAGGATTGAGCTTTTGCCTATATGTTTCCTGGTAAGTGTGTTGTAACTGTTTCTCATAGTATATTATAGTATCTTAAAGTAAAACCGAATTATTCTTTTCTGCATTCTCACCCCGTAGCGAAGCACGGGCAGAGCAACTAGTTAGTACTAGTTTACAGACTGGTTGAGATGAAACATCTGTATGTATTCTGCAACAGAAGTTTGAATTTGTGATTTTTTAGAAATATGCAAAAACCTTTACATAAGTTTTCTAATGTTAAACTGGACTATATAGAGAGTGTCAAATATTACTAAAACCTTCTTTAGTTAATAACCTTTAAAATGATTTAAAATTATTAAATCATACAAATTAATCATACAAAATTTAAAATTTTCTTAGACAACTTGTTGTTTGGAATTAGCGTAACCATTCCAAATTAAATTTCTTAGATTCTATCACAATACAATTAGTTATTTACATAAGTTATTTTTATACTTTACTTTCATTAACACACTCACTCCCGCTTGATGTGACTTTACATACAGAGGAGTGTGACGGCTGGGACTGAACCTGTTAATCAACTAATAGAAATTAGTGGGCTAGTATCACTGACTATTTGTATTAATAGTCAAAGCTAGTATGTAAATTGGTTGATGACAAATGGGTCTAATGTCATACAAGGATGACTCCAAAGATGATATTGTGAAATACCAGTCATTACATTCTTATTTTTCAGGGTAACACTTGTATAAAGCAAGAATGATGGATTGTTCCAACTCGAGCAGCAATGACGACCCCCAGTTGATAACAGAGACCCTCAATTTTGATGAAACAACATGTAAGTTAGTTTACTATTTAAATTACCATAGTAGAACTAGTAGATTATTATTTTGGGTAGAGCTACGGAGAGTGTCCATTATACCTAATTGTAGTATCTCTCTCCATTTACAGGAGGGCTATGGTTAAGCTAAGTGCTTGTCTGTGCAGTATTCTGGTCCACTCTGTCATCCCTAAAGGCGGTGACACACTATCGATCTTTTCCCCGATCAAGACCTCGAACCGAGCAGGGAGAAGGGAGAAGGGAGATAAATATCAGCAAAATTTTACTCCGAACATGACCAAGACCAGACGAATTCTACCGAGCACGGCAAAAGGAAGTTTGGAGAGAGATAGAGAGTGTGTGCGAGTGAGAGCGCGGAACTATCAATGCTAGCGCAGGCGGCCGCTCGGTGCGGCGCTCGCGACGATGTACGGGGCAAAAATGTACCGTGACACACTATCGTACATCGGACCGATCTTTTCTTTGATCTTTCGCCAAAAAACCGCCTCCAGAGCGCTCGTCTCCCTGCTCGGCCTGATGTCTTGATCGGTGTACGGACCCGTGACACACTATCGAACATCCTCCCTTCGACCTCCCTTCTCCCTTCTCCCTGCTCGGTTCGGGGTCTTGTTCGGGGAAAAGATCGATAGTGTGTAACCGTCTTAAGTATAGCACCTGATTTGTTAAAAATTAGCTTCTAAACTATTTTGAAGTAGGGTGTGGCATCCATAAACTGTTTGAAATAGTGCTGGATTTGGTAAACCTTAGACATTCTTCTTCAGTCTGTAAAAAATTTATAATTCATCACATTATATTATTGAAGTGATATTTCCGTTAAAATTGAGTGTTCCTTTCTAAAATATATATTATGTTGTCAATTTAATGACTATTTAATTATTAGGCCTAGGCTATACCAAAATATAATTTAAGCAAATCTAAAATAAACTACAAACTGGACCCGGGGTCAGTGTAATATCATAATTAATTGTTCTAAAAATAAAAAATCTTTTTTACAAAAAACCTGGTTTTGTAAAAAAGATTTTTTATAAAAAAAAAAGAAAAGTGAAAAATATATTTCACCGTATTACATGCTGATGAAACATGTTGCAATGCATAATAACGGTCTCTTACTGTTTTTTGACAGTTTCAGTTCTTCCAGTGATAGTAGATGGTCAAACAATCAGCCTTGCTGACCTAACGTCAGACTCGCTTGAAGCAGAGACGCTATTGTCTGTGCCGTATGGACCCACCATCATCACACTCAATGATGGAACCCATGCCATCGTACCAGACATGCTACAAACAGCTAGTGGTAAATTGTAAACTTAACTTTGGGTACCTGGGCTAACCTGTAGTATCAAATTTGTAGGGTGTCAAATTTCTAAAGAATCTTATGCAATGTAGCTTTGATTAGTTGTTATGCCATATGCTCCACTCTAATGAAAATCTTGGTTTGCAAACAACAAAAAGCTACTCTGCTTCTGTAAAAATTATTCTACTGTGAGTGCTCTTACAGTAGAATAATTTACATTCTACGCCCAGCCTAAATCAGAGTCATGACACTTGGAGAGTAGCATAGAGTTTTGTGACTATAAATTAGTTGAACAATAAAAGCTGATAAAAATATAAACTACACACAAATTTCATTCAGTATTTTAACCTCCATGTTTTAAAAACAAATGCTGTTGGCTATATGTTAATTTAACCCTTAGAGTGCCAGGCGAGAAATAAAAGTAACGCTCAAAAAATGCCGATGATTTGTCCCGAAGGTCGCGCTAAAAATGCCGAGCGCGATCTGGCGATTTTTAGGTTAAAATTTCGTAAAAATCGAATTTTCGATATTTTGACCAACGAAAATCGATGTATCGCATCTAGTAACTTTCGACTCAATGTTAATATATGGGTTAAAAGAATCCGAGTATCCATTCGGTTGTTATGACAACTGTTCGATCATTACGAAACGTCCGGTCAGCCGGACGTTGGCACTTTTGGCTCGTTCTAAAAACGTCCGGTCGGCCGTACGTCGGCACTTTTGGCTCGTTTTAAAAACGTCCGGTTCCCCGGACGTTGGCACTCAAAGGGTTAAAATACCCCCGCCACAGTAAACCTACCATCTAAGCGAATTTCAATTTGTCTGATTGGATTTTAGCTAAGATATTCCCATAAACAAGTTATATTTTATATTCCCATTCAAATAACATTAGATCTACCTAATACTTAGGTTTGCTGCTACGGGGAAGGGAAAAAGTGTTTTTGATATGATTTTAGTTGGACCTATAGGAGGTATTAACCCTTTGAGGTCGAATTTTTTCCACATTTTTCTGGGAATTTAGCTTGCCATTCAAGCAGTCAGGAAAATGGCGCCCAGCGACCTATACTCGCCATTCAACCAAAAAAATTAACTTTTTTTATTTTTTAATATTTTTTTTTTGTCCTTGTAAATCGCCATTTTTGAGCAGTCGGCAAAATGGCGGGCGGCGACCTATACTCGCCATTCAACCGCAAAGGGTTAAAGAAATTTCCCAAATTTGATCAAAATATATGTCCAAAAACTAGCAAACTATAGCAGTTTTCTTTTCTCCACAAGATGGGAATTTTAAATGTAATTTTTTTGGAATTTTCTCTGTAACCTTTAATTGTACAACAATGCTTCAATATAAAAAAATTGTGTTTTTAAGCACTAGGCCCAAATGTTTGCTGTAAAATATTGGGCATTTCGACCTTTTAACCTATTGGCGCTGACTTACGAGCGTTACTGGTACAGCCACTGCAGGCCCGGTGGCTGACTTACGAGTGCACTTCGTGTCACTGCTACGCAGCACCACTAGTTATTTTATTATTATTTTATTTATTATTAATGTATTACCTAAGGTTTTCTTTCTATAACAATTAGAGTAAAAGTCTACAAATTTGGTAAAATTAATTGCCAACAGAGGGTGCTGCAGGCGTAACCCAAACATTTGAAAAAGCCAATTTAAAAAAAAAAAAACTTCGAACTTCATAATATGTCAAAACTGTTTGCAGATCAGGGCACTACAACCTTTAAACCTGCCCCTGATGGTAGTTAAATTTTCTAATTTGTTACTCTTCTAAAATTCTTTGCTCCATTCTCATAGGCCTACTCCAGAGTGATGTTAACTTCAGCAGAAATATTCTATTATCAGCCTAATGTAGCCATTTAACACATTCACCTACATGTTCTTGCAGACAAATAATATTTTTAGAGGCTACGATTATCTAATTTGTGTTTTTATTTGTGATTTAAATCCAAATATATATATATATGGACCCAGTTTATAAAATCAATATCCTTGCTTCACCGTTTTGGTAGGTACCGACAAGATCTTGTGTGTCTAGATTTCTTTGCATCATCAAGCTTAGCATAAAACTGTCTTTTATACGAGGCCTATAAAATTGTAAATATAGTCTTCCTTCTAGTTGATAACATTAGTGGCAAGTTAACAGTAATACTCCAAAGTAATGCCATAAATAGAGAAGTTCCCAAAGGTTATACTATATCTGGACATTTCCAAGGTAATAACAACGCTACTTTCTATGTGAATGAGTCTTACACTTTACAGTGTTTCTTGAAGCCGAAAAGAACCTTCATAAGTAAAAACCTTCCCTAGGTTAATCCTCAACAGCCTGGTATCAAATATGAAAGTTGTTTTGCAGATGTGGTGCCTGTAGACGACTGTGGATCTACATCTTTAGTTGCAACTAAAATAGAGCAGAAGCTGGAGATAGAACCCACTGAGGAGGATGAGATTGTCAATGTGGACTCAGAAGAGAATGTGGATAAAGAAGAAGAGGTATAATGATTTATCACTATCTGTCCTTGTGAAAACTGTCAAAGTCGTGAAGAGTTTAATTATGATGGACAATTTTCAAAGCATTTTAAAAATGCTGATGTAGATGGTTCAGGTGGAAGTGGGTGGATTATTTTTTTAGCTTGTGACGCTTAGCCCCACTATTTTATTTAGTGCCACACCACAAAATAGCCTGCCTTCGCTATCAGCGCTCCGTTTTCCAACGTCTATTCTCCAGGCCCTAGCACAACAGTCGGACAACTCCATACTTCACCCAATTTGCAATAAATATACATCACATCATCCCAATATACACAACCCCCCCCCCCCAATCTCTATCTTATTTGCCTCTCTGCTTCAAGTTGCACCTCTTGTCAATTACTTGACTAGTATGTACCATTTTTATTTCCATTTTTTTATTTTATTTCCTTACTAGGCAGCCAGCTATGCAGGACAATATGTGACCAAACAAAATGTATGTGTCGGTGTGTGTGTAACCTCTAGAAATATGTTTTATAAGAGAAATAAATTTGTGTGTCTTTAAGGTTCGGGGGAGGAAAATTATGAAAATTGCATGATTAAATAACTTAATAAGTTTTGTGATGTTCAAATGGGTAATGAGACAATTTCTCAGACAAAAAAGATTCAATTCCACTTAACAAAGGAATTTTTACAGGTGGAAGAAGAACCCATGAATCTGCCAGTGCTACTAACAGAAGATTCATCTTCTGCTTTGCTGGAAGCTCATGTTTTGCAGCTTGATGGAGGAACTCTTGCTTACATACACTCTCAGCCCCAAGGTATTGAACAAGAGGCCTATTTTACTATTAGTTTTACAAAATGTACAAGTATCGCAAATTTGTAAACTTTTCAGGTACTGTTATTTTTTATAGGCAAGATTTGAAACTAAGAGATTTTGTAAAACGGAAGTTCCCAATATTCTAGAAATTACAGGAAATTATCAGATGTAGGCCTACTCATAATTTTGGATGATCCGGAAGTCGTTGTGATTGAAAGGGATGTTATATTACCAATTAAGATAGGGATGCTACAAGACCATATTTTAATCCATATTTGAACTAAGGATGAGTGTAGCTTGAAGTGAGACGCCTTGTGTGGCTTGTGGCCATTCGCCAAGCACCAAGCAGTGACTCGCTGAATCGCGAGTAACGTGGATAGGTGTTTGTCTATTTGCCAAGCAGTAAACATTCCTGCTTGTGTTTTCCCATTCATTGTCGGTAATTTTGCACACATCAAAGTGAAAAATATTTGCTATTCCAAAAACGAACAGTTGCTCGGAAAACAACTCGTGGGTAGACGTCTACTCGTTAATCAACGAATAGCAAGACGACTAGATCGCTGATCGTCAAACATTTCGTGGCAAATGGCGCATATCTGGAGCCGCCTTAAGGTCAGCTGTTTCCTTAGCCATTTATCCAATGCCCAATGATCAAGGACAGCTGCAATACCTACATACCTCATGTTACTGGTAGAAACAGTACAATATAGATGACTTTACGTGATATTGCAGATGGTAGCCAAGCAGTGGAGCTGGAGGATGGCACAGTCGCGTACATCACCCTGACACAGCAAACACAGGACCTACAAGTGGTGGAGCCTGAACCTCCAGTCAAGAAACAGAAGAGCTTCATGTGTCCACAGGAAGGCTGCGGCAGACTTTACACCTCCTCTCATCATCTCAAGGTATTAACAATTAGTATATTTACTGACGATTATTTTTGTCTGTTCTGTCCACCTTCTACGTTATAAATTTGTGATATATTTAATTAGTTTTGTCTAAGTTTTTATTTAACTTTCTGTTACAAAACTTAAGTCTGTGAAATATATGGCATACTGAATATGCAAAAGTAGGTACCGGTATATCATAACTATTTTTTTTGTAGTAGAAAAGAAATTTCTTCCTTGAAACTTACTGTACAGTTTAAAATAATCATAATCTTTCTAAGCAATTTGTAATTAACATTAACAACAGTTGTTGGAAGTGAAATCTAACTTGGTAGGGATCTTAAGCAAAAAAACCTTTCTTTTTTTACCTCTCCTTTTATCAAGGATCATTGCAAAATGATTTGCTAATAAAAGCGTTTACAGTTCAAAAATCAGAGTGCAGTGACATAAAGTTATTAGGACTTATTAGACCGTTTGGCTCGGTTGCTCCAGCAGTGTATCAGGTTTATACTATTTTACATCAAGTTCAATAGAACTGTGTCAAATCCTATTTTAGGCCTAATTGATGTTCAAAGGGTCATAACACTTTTTATTCTAGATGTTAAAACTAAATATTCATAACCTAAGCCATAATTGACGGCATTGAAGTTTGACGTATAAGATAAACTCTCTGTATATATATTTAGCCTAATATTTATTTTAATACGTTACAATATTTTCTCCTTTTTTACAACCTGTCTGATATGAGTTTTGTTTTCATTAATCCTCCAGGTTCATGAGCGGACACACACAGGCAGTAAGCCGTACATGTGCGTCATTGATGGTTGTGGGAAAGCGTTCTCGACGGACTACAGTCGTAAAGCTCATGTCCGCACGCACACCGGCGAGAAACCGTACAAATGTCCAGAGAACCTCTGCACCAAGAGCTTTAAAACTTCCGGAGATCTTCAGAAACACATACGCACCCATACAGGTATAAAATGAAACCATAGATTACGTATAACCTGACATACATTTGCCATCCTTATGGATCAGCAGAAGACAATTTTAGATTTTAGATTGGGATTATATATGGATTATTGAAGCAAAACTAGTTGGAATTTTTTGTGTTACATGGTTGGTAATGTTTTCATATATTCATTCTAATAATGCATTTACAGGTGAACGTCCGTTTGTTTGTCCTGTAGAAGGCTGTAATCGATCTTTCACAACCTCTAACATTCGGAAAGTTCACATCAGAACACACACAGGTAATTTCTGACATTCTAATACTTTTATACTCTCTTTTTCCGAAATAGTATCAAGTTGACCAAAACTAACATGTTATTTACGTGCAGGTGAACGGCCTTATGTCTGCAACGAGCCGTACTGTGACAAAGCGTTTGCTTCTGCGACAAATTACAAAAATCACATTCGCATTCACTCAGGAGAGAAGCCGTATGCTTGTAATGTCGAGGTAAGTGTTATTACAATGTAATATGACATACAGTTGTAATACAAAATTACACAATTCTGCCAAACACAAAAATAAGACCCTTTATCTTTTCAGACAGTAAGTTAAGCTTTTATGTAAATAGAATCTCTATCACAGTTTTCAATAGATGTTTTTATCTTTGGATAGTGTTTAGAGTTTCAACATTGATTATACCCTACATCAGTGATTTCAAAACTTTTTGGTTTGGCGACCCATCATCCCCATCTTTGAATTTTTTTGCGACCCACCTACAAAATAATATTATTTAGGCTATCTATATATTTAATACGCTGAGGCATATTTTTGTCATAATTGTTTTGGAGCGGTGGTGCTAGTGATCACCATGTCCAAGGTGTCGTTAGAAAGGTCTTAGCATGTAGTTTTGCCATCAAACAAAAAAATTTTGGAATTCCTTCAGAGCTCTGCCCCCAAAAGTCTGCCTTCAAAGTTCCCATGTTATTCTTAGGGAGAAAATGTTTGTTTACATTTGAACAGATGAATACTTTGAAATTGACAATAATATTTGAAACAGCAGGTTATACTAAAATTGGAGACATGCGCTATAAGGATTTGTTAGATTAGTTAAAAAGATTGATGTTTCACTGTTTTAAACCAGTTTTTATTTCCACAAAATCGAAACATAACCAAATAAAAGGAAATCAGTCGGGAATCGGAAAAAATAGGAAAATAAGAGGGGATACATTAGCTGATACAAATGCGCTGGGAGCAGAGTGAAGAATAAAGGTAAACGTTCGGATATAATATGTCAAACTTCAGAAGGAGACTGGAACAATATTGAAAGATGGGTCATTATCATTGACTATGGTCATTATTGAACGCAGTTTGTCATAGGACATGGAAATTTCAAGGCGAATTTGCGGAGATTTGACCTGGTGGAAGAGATGCAGATGCGGAGAAATAGTGACCGCAAGTCAGGTTTTGATGAATTAATTGTCCACTTCAGGAGGCAAATGGGAAAGATCAGGAAGAGGTCTTGGATAGGAAAGGTCTAGAGATGAGAAAATATAACTTGATAAGAGACAAGGAAACAATTGAGACCTTTAGGAAGGTAGCACAGAAATATGAAGAAAAGGGAAAACATACAGGCTTTTAAAATTTAAAAAGAAAGAAACAAAAACAAAGAAAGAATACCCCCGCCGCAGCAAATCTGCAGACTAAGCGAATTTCCATTTGCCTGATTGGATTTACACTAAAATGTCTCATTAAAAATATCACATTTATTCCCTATTAAATAGCGCATTAGTTTAACGAGTACTTAGGTTTGCTGCAACAGGGAGGGTAAAAGGTGTTTTTTTTATGTTAATAGTTTAGTATGAAATGAATGCATTTTCCAAATTTGATCAATACATGATCATAAACAAGAAAACTACATCAGTTTACTTATTCTCCATAAGAATAACATGGGAATTTTAAATTTACAGTTTTTTGGAATTTTCTCCGAAACCATTTGGTGCATAATAACTCTTTAATATACTAAATTACTTGTTTTTTTAAGCTCTACAAAATGGTTTGGAAAGAAATTGCTAAATTTTAAGTTTTTAGGGTCAAAAATGGGAAAAACCAATTTTTGCCCCATAAAACCCCCCATAAATCCCTGTTCCCATAGTCCGATCATGCTGGTTCGCGAACTCGTTAGAATAAACGTAGGATTACACGTTTGTACCAAATTTCATCAAAATCGGATAATTTTTGCTCGAGTTATCGCGCTAACGGACACATATATAAATATATGTATATATATATATATTTTGTTATTGTATACATCAATGAGGGATACTTTAAATGTTACTAAGTAAATCAAAATACCACAGTACCCTAAAAACATTTTATTTTATATTACTTACATGTTTCGGACATTAATGCCATGATCACAGTATAGTATATAACCTATTAGTTTCTTTTATTTACAAACATTATTAGATATTTCTTGTTAAAGAACAGGTGATAATTTTGTATGTTAAGGGAAGGAGGTGTTTTCTTTAAGATTTATAATTTCATTGAATACAGTATTACGTTTTGATTTTGAATTTGTGTCAAGTTTAGTAAATTGTCTTTGTCATTAATATGATGAGTATAAATATAAAAGTCTTCTTTTGTATTCATTTTTTCACCTTTATTTTCAACATCCAGAATGTGCATATTTTTATTAATTTCTGAGTATGTATGGTCGGTCTGAAGTATATGTTCGGCGAATGAGGATTTTTGTGTTGTCATATTGTTTGATCTGATTGCCTGTATATGCTCTTTGTACCTGACTTCGAATGTTCGACCTGTTTGACCAATATAGTACTTTTCACAGTTGTTACATGATAATTTGTAAATTCCAGATTTCTTATATATATTTGCAGGGTTGGGTCTCGGATTTGTTCTTTTTTGAATTATGTTAAAAGCGTTATTCCTTGTTTTATAACTTAGTTTAAATTTTGAGTTCGGTAATGTCTTTCTTAAGGTTTTGTTTAAGGATGAGCTGAATGGAATACATATAAATTCTTTCTTTACGTTTTCTTGTTCTTCTATTTTCAATCTTTTCGTTTTTTCATTTTTTATTAATTTTTCAATCATTTTTTCTTTGTATCCATTTGTTTCTGCAATTCTTTTTATAGTTTTCTTTTCTATTTCAAAGTTGTCTTTAGACATTGGTATGTTAAGTAGTCTAAATACCATTGATTTGAATGTAGAAATTTTGTGTTGCCAAGGATGGTTTGACTCGAATGGAATGATTAGGTCAGTTTGTGTAGGTTTCCTATATATATTGAAATTATGTCGATCGTTTTCTTTAGTAATTGTTATGTCTAAGAAATTTATCTTCTTTTCTTGTGTCTCCATTTTAAATTTACAATGGAGACACAAGAAAAGAAGATAAATTTCTTAATTTTAAATTTACAATGGAGACACAAGAAAAGAAGATAAATTTCTTAGACATAACAATTACTAAAGAAAACGATCGACATAATTTCAATATATATAGGAAACCTACACAAACTGACCTAATCATTCCATTCGAGTCAAACCATCCTTGGCAACACAAAATTTCTACATTCAAATCAATGGTATTTAGACTACTTAACATACCAATGTCTAAAGACAACTTTGAAATAGAAAAGAAAACTATAAAAAGAATTGCAGAAACAAATGGATACAAAGAAAAAATGATTGAAAAATTAATAAAAAATGAAAAAACGTAAAGATTGAAAATAGAAGAACAAGAAAACGTAAAGAAAGAATTTATATGTATTCCATTCAGCTCATCCTTAAACAAAACCTTAAGAAAGACATTACCGAACTCAAAATTTAAACTAAGTTATAAAACAAGGAATAACGCTTTTAACATAATTCAAAAAAGAACAAATCCGAGACCCAACCCTGCAAATGTATATAAGAAATCTGGAATTTACAAATTATCATGTAACAACTGTGAAAAGTACTATATTGGTCAAACAGGTCGAACATTCGAAGTCAGGTACAAAGAGCATATACAGGCAATCAGATCAAACAATATGACAACACAAAAATCCTCATTATCCGAACATATACTTCAGACCGACCATACATACTCAGAAATTAATAAAAATATGCACATTCTGGATGTTGAAAATAAAGGTGAAAAAATGAATACAAAAGAAGACTTTTATATTTATACTCATCATATTAATGACAAAGACAATTTACTAAACTTGACACAAATTCAAAATCAAAACGTAATATTCAATGAAATTATAAATCTTAAAGAAAACACCTCCTTCCCTTAACATACAAAATTATCACCTGTTCTTTAACAAGAAATATCTAATAATGTTTGTAAATAAAAGAAACTAATAGGTTATATACTATATTGTGATCATGGCATTAATGTCCGAAACATGTAAGTAATATAAAATAAAATGTTTTTAGGGTACTGTGGTATTTTGATTTACTTAGTAATATATATATATATATATGAATTTGAACGGATGGTGTTTATGGTCTCTAGGGACCTCAAAACGAAAAAGTAAATCGGTCCCGGGTCCAGGTCTTACCATGAGTAATAGCTTATTCCCTATAGGGGAAATTCGCTAAAAGGAATGAAAATTTCTCCAAGAAGGGGAGAGGAAAGGTTATAGTTATAGTGAATCCCAATGATCCCTATCACTCAGGGTGGTAGGATGTCGCGCTGTTAGTATTATAGACGCATGGGAGGGGTTTGAACACATAGTTTGTGTGGACGAGGATTAAACGTGGCCAAAGCTTGAGAAGGAGGAAGATTTTCTTGGCTTGGCAAATAATTTTACTGTCGATTAATCAAAATAGAATCTTTTACCGCCTTTCACAAACAAAACTGCCAAAACAGCACAAAAACTGCCAACTCAATTAGACCTTTTGCCATCTCCACATTTAACAAAAAAACCAAGAATCTTAAAACGCCAAGTAAAAAATTATCAACACAAATCCTTTCTCTCCTATGTCTAGATTGCGCACGATTCCATGCGCCAGGATCGCTAGTTTCACTTAATTATTGAGAAAGTGCCCCTAAACAGTAAGCAGAACCTACAAAAAAATATATATTAATATTATGCTACCTATGATTATTTACCATCATAATGTTATTAGTATTATTATGTACAAGAGAAACTAAACTAAATGAAAATTGTGAGGATAATAATATTGAAAATACAAAGTTGAATCCAGAACACTATCATTTGAGAAACTTAAATTATTTATAACTGAAGTTTAGTCGTAGCATTTTACAAGAGACCTTATCTGGAATAAATGTTGATAACTACACAACTGTACTGTTTATGTTGGACATTTTACACATGGTATTTTTTGTATTTATTCCCAATATGGGAAATTTGCTAAATTTTGTTAATCACGTTACACTATGAATAATGCATGATTTGTATTGACATGTCGCATATTTTTTTTTTTTTTTTTTATTAATTGCTGATCTTCAGCCTCTGTGTTGTGATTTTTTTTGTGATTAAATTGAATTGAATTGAATATACTGAAAATATTTTAATGTGCATCCCGGCCCCTTGGTACTCACTTGTTACTATTCTGTGCTCACTAGACCGACTGAAAAATTACGGATCCTGATAAAAAAAACATTGGTAATGTTTTGTCTCTCCTCGTAAGTTTGGGAACCGCTGCCCTACATCATAGATAGATTTAGTGCATTGGTTTGTGAACTAGGTTAGTAGTGATGCAAATGGCTGGAAAGGTGAGAGCACTAATGATTACAGTGCCACTCCTTGCATTTATGAAGTGAAGTATGTTTTGTTGACACTTTTTCTCCGTTCAACATTCAAGGTGTCAAAAAGATTAAACTCTTAACAATTAGTTTGTAAATAAATTAACACACTTTTTCTCAAAAGAGCATCCGTGCCTTCAAAGTTTTGAGGAAAAGAGCTAAGCCCCTGCCACCTCCATTGTTTTGTTGTTTAGGATACCTTAGACGGGACATTTTATAAAATTTCTGGCTAAAAAGTTAAAGTGGTTATACATGAGAAATAGCCTACACAATTTGCCTTCAAAAGTTTCATATAACTCCACGTAAGATTGCACTGAAGCGGTAATTTTTTAGAATAGTTTTAAACAATTTACCCCGGTAATCAATATTTAATAGATAGGTGTTTACTATCATCGATAAAATATAATGTATTTTCTCAAGTATTAAACTCAGGGGTGCCCATAGGGGGGTTTGATGTCGCAAAATGCGACATCAGAATTTTATTTGGGGGGGATTTTATGATTTTGGGGGGGATTCAAGCCGGTGGTTGGTTAAAAGCACATAAAAGATTAATCAGATAATTTTTACGACCTCCTTAATTTATTACTGGGGTAATTATGCAATCAAAACCCCGTTTGACATTTTATCTTGATTAATAAATCATTTTATAATTGCTATTAAATATATAGATACGTTTATGTGGTCTTCCACTTACTGACTCGTATCATGTTTGACAGTGAGAACAACTCCATGCCAACTGCTGTCAAAGGATTATGGTTGCTTATTAAATTGTATCTGCAATTTGAGTTTGTTTTTACCTTTACATTATGAACTCATTCTCAAATAGTCTCATCGCCTTGAGGACCTATTGATGGTTTTTTAGGTTTGTTTATTATAATATATTCTTGATTCATAAAAAAACAGTATTATGATAATGACAATCATTTTGCTATTTTTACAACATCAACAACAACATGAAAGCTTGTGATAATCCTTTGGGGTACTTTCCTGTTAAAGGGAACATTCATTATTATCGATGATTTTTCTCGATATATCGATATTAACAAATTGAAACATATCAGCTGACAACTACGCGATAAATATTGTTCACTATCAACAAACAATAATGAAATGAAACGGCTCTAAAAAAAATAACCTAACATAACTAACCAAACTTGCTATAACATTTACAAATTCCGTGTTTAACTTGCCTTTTCTATTACCAAACCCAAACGGAATTTTTAAATGGCCCAGCAAGTTTGGTTGGTTATGTTAGGTTAGCTTAGAATATTTTAGCCTAAACAAGATTAGTTAGTTGTTGTCAATTTTTAATGGATCGGAAAATAAAAATATCGATATATCGAGAAAAAATCATCGATAATAATGAATGTTCCCTTTAACAGGAAAGTACCTATTTTGGCTCTCCGAAATAAATTTGCCTGGGTCATTTATTCATTGGAAGAAATTGACATACAGTACTGTGAAAATTTAATTAAGGTTTTTGATAGGCTATGTGTTTACGTTAACTTCAAGAACTGAAACACATGATTCTGGGATAATTAAATTGTATTTGATTGTCTTTTCTTGAATCTAGAAAGAGCTTCAAACAAATTTTACTAGTCTTAGAATAGATATAAAATTATTTTTTTACGCCCCACTACACTATTTTGACGAACTTCCCATACAAGGATTTAGTCCAGAAAACAGCTGTTTGTCCTTAATCAAATGGGGTTTCATACAGTACTACTGTACTGTAATGAGTTTTGCCGGACACCAATCAGCTGATTATACTGTATTTGGGTGGCAATGAGTGGTTCTAACAAAAACATAACCTCTCTAGTGATTTTTAGTCCTTTAGTTGGTGGTAATATTGGGATTTGAACGGATTTAGTAGTATGGCGCAGAGTATGGCGTAAACTATCGTACGTCACTCGTCCAAAATGTGTTGGCCGGACTCGTATAAAAAAAAAAACCACTACTCGACTTCGTCTCGCACGGGATTCAGGACTAGTAACGTAATATACTATTTTACCACACTATGATGTTTTTTAACTGTTTTACATATAGGTACATTAATTGATGGCTGAAAGTTACGTTTTGCAGGCCATGCCAGCTGTCATCGTCATTCGGGGATCGAGCAGGTTATCAGCTGCCCGCTTTAAATACACAATCAGTATCATTTTTGCTGATTCCTCAAATTATTTATCCACATGACCTTAAAGTTGTAGTTGTGTTGACTATATCAGTGTGCAGTGCATTATCATTGAGGTGAATTAGTGGTAATAGGGTATAGTGTGGGGTGGTGAATAATAGCGTTCGTACCACGGACTGAAATGGTTTTGCAGTTCTCGATCGTTTTAAGTCCTCGACCTCGTATCGAACTTAAAAACTACCTTGAACCAGCAAAACCTCATTTTGGCCCTAGGCACGAAATATACTATTAAGTTTAGGCCTAGTAATATTTTTGAGACTAAATATTTTACACTTATTTAAAAAGGACCAAACTCAGAAGTGGATTAAAGGGCAATTTAGAAAATATCTCACACTTTTTGACATAACTTCAAGTACTTTTTCCCCTACAATTTAATATGGTAAAAGAATTGTTTATGTAAAAACCCTGATCCCAAAAAAGTGGTTTTCGAAGTGATGTGTGTGTCTGTCTGTATGTGTGTATGTTTGGAATAGAGCTACAGACCACGCCTGTGGTCCGAGTCAGATTTTGATGAAATTTGGTATTTTAGGTACCAATCCATGGTCTCTCCAGATGTTTTTTTTTTCATTTTGGATTTTAAGTAGTGATATTCCATAAAAACCCTATAAAACCCTATAAAATAATGGATGAATAAAATTTTCTCAGAATTGGCCCGAACGATTTTGATTAAAAATTAACATGTTATACTCTTTGACTATGACAAAAATTGTATAAACCCTCTATGCCGTAAAAATTATGGTTCAAAAGTTATTGCAACTTTTGTGATTTTCCCTTTTAAAACCTATTAACTCATGAAAAATTTGGGTAAAAAAAACTACATGGCCAATTTTGATTCAAATTGTGTGCATGTCAAAAATCCAACTCATTTAAATTAAAACTAAACTAACAAATAGTTTGCTACTAGAGTTTTAAAGGAAAATCGTCCATTTAAATTGGGTTAAAAGTTTGATTCAAACGCTTAAATTCCCATAAATTTAAAGAGGTGTCGGGGGCACCCCTTCCCTCCTCGCATTATAAACATAACTATGGGTTAGCCCCCAGACCTTCCGGCATGGGTTAAACAACGAATTTGGGGGGGATTCTGCGACGTGAGCTTTGGGGGGGATGGGCACCCCTGATTAAACTTATACTCTTCATACAGCAATAGGCATAGATCTATATCTATTACTTATTTAATACGCAAGCAGGTTTTTTGTGACAATTACTCCTCCGAAACTACTGAACCGATTGACATGTTTTTGATGTCATTGGAAAGAGCGTAACGTGAAGTTGTGCAGGAAACTTTCTTTTTAGGGAAATAACTAGAGAGTGAGGCCCTGGGGCCCTTTAAAGTTTCGTATTTATCCATAAGATTAACATGGGAAACAAACATTGGAAACTCCAGGTGTTGTCAGAAATTAAAAGTGAGAAGAAGAACATATGTTAATTGTAAAATAGTGACAGAGAGGTTATGCAGAAAATCAGGTAGTTAATGGTTATTTGGTGCTATTAAAATATGGACTGAAATTTGTAAACGTACTGGCGACAATGGGTGATACCATGCAGACTACATTATCATTGACAAAGACCAACATGGACAACCTATTGCGGCTATAAGTGGGAAACATTTCTACAATACACTAAAAGTCAGATCAGCTTTTGAAAATTGATCAAATATTTACGAGAAATGTTGATTATATTGAACTATTAAGTACATTGTGAGTATTATCATTAGTTACGTAATCTTTGAGTTGACTCTTTTAAACTCATCGGAATTTATGACTTATATTTGTTCTTAAATAAGTTATTTGTTTTTAAATAACTCCTTTACTGCTTTGAAATTACTCGATTTCGAGCAACATGTACACTAGTTTTATTTAAAGAATAAGAACATTGTTTTCTATTTTCCTACAGGGTTGCAACAAGAGGTTTACTGAATACTCTTCCCTATACAAGCATCACATGGTGCACACACAAGAAAAACCTTACCAGTGCAATGTCTGTGGTCGTAGTTATCGTCAGGTAAGCTACAGTAGCAATCTACACAGGTGTTCAGGTTTAATATTAATGTAAATGACAAGTAACTCAATAACTGTATCGGTTGGTGTTTAAGGGGCTCATCATCGTCTCCCGGGATCCAAGATAAGTACTGTGGTCCAACTATACTAGGGGCCACAGGAGTCTGCAGTTGGTGGAGGCCAATATCAAGACTGGACTAGTGCGGTGTTACAATATCACCCGTTTACTAAATAAATTGTTTGACACTAATTAAAATATACTAAACAATATTTTCATATCAGCTGGTATTATTAGATTTGTCAACACCGGTCATTTGTCAACACATTTGTCCTCATTGGCTCCTTCGAAGTCACATGGTAAATAGGCTCCTCCCTCAACTGCAGACTCTCGTGAACCGTTCTGTAGTTTTAGCATCAGTACTGCATACATTACGAGTATATTATACCTCTTAAACACTGCAATGCATTTATTGAAAACATTCTGTTTTTCAGGTCTCTACGCTGACTGTTCACAAACGGACATCTCATGGTGTGATAGAAGCAGATGATGGGACAGAAATTGTACTAGGAAATGTGTTTACACAAAAAGTGCTTAAAAATGCAAATACCTCCAACCCTAAGAAAATCAAACGCATCAAAACAATCACTACTAATGTGAGTATTAGCCCATACAAAAACTAAAAGGAAATATTCTATGTGAAGTATTATGCTGCACTTGGTTACAATTCAAAACATTAGCTTGGCTGTGGTCAAATGTACACACACCACTCAGTAGGAAATAGGCCAACATACATTTACATCTTTATTGATCAACAGAAGTACCAACATAAGTTGAGTGGTTAGTGGTTATTAAAAACTAAAGCCAGAAATTAATCATCAAATTAAAGTTAACACAGTTTATCTGAGTATATTTTGTGATAGCTATAGTTGGGTTGTGTAGCCTACACAAGCAATCTTCGCCTCTTAAATAAAGACATTTTTCATTTAATTTTTTTTTTCATTTCAATCTTTTTCTAAAAATGTTTTCCTAACTCTTATATTACAACGTTTTAGTTTGAAATTGGTCTGTAAATGATTAATGAAATAATAATTTATTTATGTGTTTAAACAGCTTGAAAACCCCAACAGAAAGAAAACCACTGATAAACTGCTTGAATATACGTTGTGAACTTGATCCGTTAACGTTATTCAGGGTGTAGAAAAATATATTTTTAGGTTAGTTTCAAATCAATACTACTCTATAAATTAAAGCATTTTGACAGATTCCAACCCCAATTAAAGATATACTTACTGCTTACTGCCATGGCCACTTGTACCCTAGCTGGTACTTGGCCTCGCCAACACGCTGTCGCCAATAGTCTCGGTCCCATGCATCTTCCTCTACAAGCCTCATCCTTTCCAAATCTTTTCGTACTTGACCCCACCACCTGGCTTTCGGTCTACCTATTGGTCTTCTTCCCCTCGGATTTCCTCTGAGTGCTATCTTCAGTAGACTCTCCTCCTTTCTCCTTAGGATATGGCCAACCCACCTTAATCTTCTACTCTTAACTTCTCCAATTAAAGATATGCTCATTAAAAATAAGAAGTAAACTTAATGAGGATTATGGTTATTCTAGCTGCTGAGTACAAATGATGGAGACTACATTGTAGACAGTGGAGGCTCCATACAGAGGATATCTAGTGAACAAATCTTCATAATTGAGGACATCCCTGAACACCTTAGAGCATTACAGGTAAGACATTCATCTCAATGTAAAGCATCTTCAACAAGCAAATCATTAATCAGCCTCTCATTATTAAGAAGCCGCCCCAACATATTAATTAATTACAGCTGTGTCTAATGAATAAGTCGGCCTTAGTCACTTACAAGACTACAAGATCGCGCCACTCATCTCCATTCATACTTGACTTAAAATACTTAAGTAAGCATCTTGCAGTACCTTCTACTTGATATAAATCGACTTAATACTTTAATACTTTTATCTGAAATGGCGACTATACGAATGTAGGTATTTTAAGCCACGTATGAATGGAGATGAGTATAGGATGAGTGGTGCAAACTTGTTGTCGACATGTTCCTTAGACAGAATTGTTAATTAGCTCTACAACCAATGGCAACTAAGGGACCTACAGTTCATAGTGGAATCCGAACTACATTTTCTCCTTGTATTTTACAAATTGGTCTAATTATCAGGATAGTACTGCAGATAGTCATAGTACTCACGAGTGTGGACGTTAATCCACACCAGGGAGTATCGCATCCACAGATCATGCCTATAAATATCCACAATTGTTGACCTCCAAAGTAGCTAGATTACAGGACATTTAGTGTATTTTTACATACTAGGAGAAACCCGTCAAAATCTACGGTTAGGGGCCTCTTCGTTTATATATGGGCGTGCGGCTTCATTGGCAACAAATAATGCAAATAAATGACATAGCAAAGTGGCATTTCCAAAAAGAAAGAATACTGTAAATTGGCTGTTACGTAAATATTAATGTTAAAATGCATTGTTAATCAACGTATCGTATAAAGGATGATGTGGTCTAGTTTAAAAGGAATATGACCTTTCTGTCATTACAGTAGCTGATCAAATAGTATTTACTCATTGGGCCATTTTTTACAGCCAAAATGTCGTGTTATTTTCAAAAATGCTACCAACCCAGTGGGCCACGGTCCGTAATATAGGCCACTGCAAATAATTTGTCAAAGATAGGTACCCGTACCATTCTAGGCAAGGTTTCTTTCTGTGTTCGGATGTTATTAGACACGATAAGAGCTCATCAATTTTTAAATCAGTAAATAACATTGCAAATAGGTACTTCTTTTAGACAATTCAATAGCTCCCAATAAACGTGTGTTGTTTAAAATACAATTTAAGAATTAACTGCTGTTTAATTCAAAAGTATTATCCACATGATGAAAATGTAAACAAATCTGTGGAGGGATCTTTAAAGGCTTCTGGGGCAGAGCCCTAACGGGATTCACCTCGTGTTTCTTTTGGTAACTCATCTAGAGACCAAGACCTTTCTTTGGACACCTCTACCAAGTTTCTACGCCCAGTCGTTCTCTCAAATTAGTGGAGACAAAGTTTCCAATTAAATATTTAGATTTCCCCATGTTAATCTTATGGGAGAAAATCCAACTTTGATGGAAGATCCTGCCTAAACTAATATAAATTTCAAAAAATTAAAAAGACTTTGCAAAACTACAGATCAGGGCCATTCTTTTGACACTTTAATTATCAAAATCGGTCCAAAAATGAGGGAGGAGTTCTGTTTATAAAAATCGGCTTAGCGTATTATATATATAGATTTTCTGTTTAGTATTGCTTTTTACAATTTAAGGAAGTAAAGTCTTTGTGTGTTTAGGAATCAATCTGCACATTCTACAGCATTGACTATATAACCTAAATTTATGATTGTTTGCAGCACATAACAGATCCTGATGATGAAGAGTTGCAAGCTGCGTTGGACCCCTTACAGGAGCAATAATAAACATCGGGTTAGTGTCTCATTGATGGCCGAACATAGTATGTGTCCAATACTGTGTCAAGCTACACTCACAAGTATAATCAAACTAGATAATGAAATTGATCAACAAAAATGGCTGTGCATATTTATAGTTTGTCGAAGAAGCATTTAAACAAATATGTTTACTTCTTCGACAGTAAAAAGTTCCTTTATACAGGAATTTATACAGAATTTATTATGGAAACCAGGTACTAAACGGTGTGGAACCTGGTTTCCATATAATATAGTAGACAATATTGGTTTAAGTCATAAGTATAACCAGTGCTCGATTTGTTAAAAAATGAGGTGCCGTAACCGTAACCTATTTAATGTGACTAGTACCTATTTTTGCCAATATTTTTACTTTCTCCTGCTATACCATAGTATATGGAGAAAGTATTGTTTTATCTTTCCGAAAGAGAGCAACTGGAACGCTGTTCTGCCTCAAATCGAACACTGAGTATATAACTTCTTGGGATGCAGGTACTAGACGATTCATTTGCGCTTCTTAGTCCATTTAACAAACTGGTTAAAATTTATTTTAGGAAATTTGAATCTGTATTTTCAAACAGATCCTACTCCGTATGAACCAAAAGACTTATTGATTTTAGATCAATGATCATTGTTTGACTTCAGTTTACTTTATTGTATCATTACTGTTTTTTTTAGTGTAGCACAAGAAAGAATAATAAACAATGTGCCATGTGTAAATACAACTAAATACTTTGTAGAAAATCGTGTTGTAAAAAAAGGATATTTTAACTTTTGTTACCCTTAAGCAATTAGTAGTAGATATATTTATTTATAATTAGTTTTCATTATTTCTGTGCAGTTATTCTTTATAAATGTATAACTTCAAAAGTGAATGATAAAATAACAATTAAAACCTATTTGGAGTTTAAAATACTTTTTTAGGAATTATTTTTGTTTAACCATTGAATTGGACTTCCCTGAATACATGCTATTTTTCTTAACCAAGTGCTGTGAACTTTATAGATCAAACACAATTTATTTGAAATGTAGGCTACACTGAATAAAGTGCAGCAATGTTGCATGGTAGCAACATTCTTTAGATTAGCAAATTTTCACCTTCAATTGTACTGACATACACTTAAGTTATTTTTAACCAATCGACCACTCAAACATGTTTGTTTCCATAATTGAGCCGCTACAAATGCTTGACACTTGTATAAATCTCTATGTCTGATTTCTAAGGTCAACGGAAATCTTGAATAAGAACTTGAAATGAAGTGCTTAACTTCTGCAAGAATTCCTTTTATGCTTAAAATACCATTAATATTAAGAGAACTGAAGCCGTGAATATACGTAGCATAAATTCATATACATAAACTAGCTGGATTTATTAATTAATATATTGTTATATATTGTAAATAAAGATTTTATAATGCAACTTATGGTTTTATTTTCCTTAGTCCAGTTCTAGCATTTTATTCCAGTTTATAATCATAATATTTTGTTTGTGAAATATTGCAGTGGTCTATTTTCCTACTCAAGCTTAATACCTTGACATACGAATGAGGAATCGTCAAAATAAAAATATTGGTTCATTTTGCCAATTAAAATTATAAATGTTACGTTAAAAGCACCACAATCCTACAGAATAAGGAAATAAACCAAATTCATTCCTCAAGTTGTTTGCAGGGCTTTTGTTTCACTATTGCACTAATTAAGTTGAGTTTTCAGCAACAAAGTTGAATTCCAAAACAAATATGGATGAAAGTAATAGGCTTATCTAGGTTTAACCGTCGTGTCATAAAATTATGTGTATGTACTGACTGAATGTAGTAATAATTAATTAACAAAGCTGATCAATTGGGTTAATTTTCCTGTATATATTATTGTATAGGGATTGTTTTAAGCCAAACATGTAGCATATTTATTTAATGTCTGCACTTAAGAATTTCTAAATTCAGGTATATTCGTAAAATGTTATCATAATTACTTCTTAATAATGAAAGTGATCGATTTTGATTGCAGACTGCAATCATCATCAGACCCGATAGGCAAATGACAAGAGTCTTGATGGTGTCAATTATCAATTATCAATTATTTAAGATGGGGACGCCGTATAAATATCCACAATTCGTGATCTCCTAGTAGCTGGATTACAGGACGACGCCACCCGTCCCAGTTATATCCTGTTATTATGACATGTCCCGACTTATATCCTGTTGGTTAACGGAATTCGTGGCAAGAGGATTCTATAAGTACAATTGGGGTCTAATTCACAATTCACTTCTTATTTAATTATCACAAATGTCACATGCTTGGGAAGAATAGTATATTTAGGTCTATAAGGAAAAATGTAAAAAATATAAATAAGCTAATTAACAAACAAGTAATTTTGACTCAAGCTGTAGGCCTAATTGTAGAATTAACTTCTTGCCCAGAACTTCCAGTAACCGAGAGAGAGAAAGAGAGAGCTTTATTTACAACTACAACCTTAAAGATTGAAATGAAATGAAGATTGAAATTCTAGGATAAAAGTAGATATGTCATCGAGATTCTTGTCATTCTTCTATTGATTCTGATGATGATTGTACCACTACCATATTTTATATGTATTCACCATCTTTTTGTATAAGTATAGGTGTAAATATAGGTTTCAATCAAGCATTATTCGACATATTTTTTAATACATTCAGATGGACTTATCTACGCTTTGAATTTTGACCTTTTGGTTCTCAGGTGAGCAAGTAAGCAATCGAGTTACTCAGAAAAATCCCTAACGATTTCCCTAGTTTTTTTTAGGTAGGAATACAAATTGTGTTCCATTCAATCTCAACATTAAAAAAACTACCCCACAACATATTAGGAAAAGTGGCTTCTTCATTCTTCATCCATCACATCTCAAAATAATTGTAAGAAACTCCAAAATATAAATATCCATTATCTATGAAAAACTCCTTTCAAGAAACCAATAATATCAGTAGCCATAAACTTTGATTTTTGGCTGGGAAGCAGTACCCTGTTTGATATGTCCAAGGGAGAGTAATGTTAGATCAAATTTGTATTGATGTTCATGGGCACAAATGATCATTATTTACTTAATAAAGCAAAAGTATACTGAAGTGTTCAAAATATTTAATAAAATGTATCACAATAATAATTTAAATGTTACGACAAACACTGTGATTGTAGGCCTACACACACAGATTCCAGTAGTAAGTGAGACTCAATATCAGCAAGTTTTACTGGCTTCTGGGCAACCTACGTGGCGCAAACCAAACTCTGCTCGGTCCTGTAAACATTAATTTGTCATGTGAAATAGGAACTCAATATTCCATTTAAAGTCTGCTATTTTAGGTCTGCTTACCTTTATCTCCTGGTTGAGCAGCCCCAGTTGCACCATGTGAGCTCTCATCCCCTGCAGTGTTTGCTCACTAAACTTGTTGGCCTCCATGTATCTGTACACTGCTAGGTCTGCTTACCTTTATCTCCTGGTTGAGCAGTCCCAGTCGTACCATGTGAGCTCTCATCCCCTGCAGGGTTTGCTCACTAAACTTCTCAGGGTTGGCCTCCATGTAACTGTACACTGCTAGGTCTGCTTACCTTTATCTCCTGGTTGAGCAGTCCCAGTCGCACCATGTGAGCTCTCATCCCCTGCAGGGTTTGCTCACTAAACTTCTCAGGGTTGGCCTCCATGTAACTGTACACTGCTAGGTCTGCTTGCTTACCTTTATCTCCTGGTTGAGCAGTCCCAGTCGCACCATGTGAGCTCTCATCCCCTGCAGGGTTTGCTCACTAAACTTCTCAGGGTTGGCCTCCATGTATCTGTACACTGCTAGGTCTGCTTACCTTTATCTCCTGGTTGAGCAGTCCCAGTCGTACCATGTGAGCTCTCATCCCCTGCAGGGTTTGCTCACTAAACTTCTCAGGGTTGGCCTCCATGTATCTGTACACTGCTAGGTCTGCTTACCTTTATCTCCTGGTTGAGCAGTCCCAGTCGCACCATGTGAGCTCTCATCCCCTGCAGGGTTTGCTCACTAAACTTCTCAGGGTTGGCCTCCATGTATCTGTACACTGCTAGGTCTGCTCTTACCTTTATCTCCTGGTTGAGCAGTCCCAGTCGTACCATGTGAGCTCTCATCCCCTGCAGGGTTTGCTCACTAAACTTCTCAGGGTTGGCCTCCATGTATCTGTACACTGCTAGGTCTGCTTACCTTTATCTCCTGGTTGAGCAGTCCCAGTCGCACCATGTGAGCTCTCATCCCCTGCAGGGTTTGCTCACTAAACTTCTCAGGGTTGGCCTCCATGTATCTGTACACTGCTAGGTCTGCTTACCTTTATCTCCTGGTTGAGCAGCCCCAGTTGCACCATGTGAGCTCTCATCCCCTGCAGTGTTTGCTCACTAAACTTGTTGGCCTCCATGTATCTGTACACTGCTAGGTCTGCTTACCTTTATCTCCTGGTTGAGCAGTCCCAGTCGTACCATGTGAGCTCTCATCCCCTGCAGGGTTTGCTCACTAAACTTCTCAGGGTTGGCCTCCATGTAACTGTACACTGCTAGGTCTGCTTACCTTTATCTCCTGGTTGAGCAGTCCCAGTCGCACCATGTGAGCTCTCATCCCCTGCAGGGTTTGCTCACTAAACTTCTCAGGGTTGGCCTCCATGTAACTGTACACTGCTAGGTCTGCTTGCTTACCTTTATCTCCTGGTTGAGCAGTCCCAGTCGCACCATGTGAGCTCTCATCCCCTGCAGGGTTTGCTCACTAAACTTCTCAGGGTTGGCCTCCATGTATCTGTACACTGCTAGGTCTGCTTACCTTTATCTCCTGGTTGAGCAGTCCCAGTCGTACCATGTGAGCTCTCATCCCCTGCAGGGTTTGCTCACTAAACTTCTCAGGGTTGGCCTCCATGTATCTGTACACTGCTAGGTCTGCTTACCTTTATCTCCTGGTTGAGCAGTCCCAGTCGCACCATGTGAGCTCTCATCCCCTGCAGGGTTTGCTCACTAAACTTCTCAGGGTTGGCCTCCATGTATCTGTACACTGCTAGGTCTGCTCTTACCTTTATCTCCTGGTTGAGCAGTCCCAGTCGTACCATGTGAGCTCTCATCCCCTGCAGGGTTTGCTCACTAAACTTCTCAGGGTTGGCCTCCATGTATCTGTACACTGCTAGGTCTGCTTACCTTTATCTCCTGGTTGAGCAGTCCCAGTCGCACCATGTGAGCTCTCATCCCCTGCAGGGTTTGCTCACTAAACTTCTCAGGGTTGGCCTCCATGTATCTGTACACTGCTAGGTCTGCTTACCTTTATCTCCTGGTTGAGCAGTCCCAGTCGTACCATGTGAGCTCTCATCCCCTGCAGGGTTTGCTCACTAAACTTCTCAGGGTTGGCCTCCATGTATCTGTACACTGCTAGGTCTGCTTACCTTTATCTCCTGGTTGAGCAGTCCCAGTCGCACCATGTGAGCTCTCATCCCCTGCAGGGTTTGCTCACTAAACTTCTCAGGGTTGGCCTCCATGTATCTGTACACTGCTAGGTCTGCTTACCTTTATCTCCTGGTTGAGCAGTCCCAGTCGCACCATGTGAGCTCTCATCCCCTGCAGTGTTTGCTCACTAAACTTCTCAGGGTTGGCCTCCATGTAACTGTACACTGCTAGGTCTGCTTGCTTACCTTTATCTCCTGGTTGAGCAGTCCCAGTCGCACCATGTAAGCTCTCATCCCCTGCAGGGTTTGCTCACTAAACTTCTCAGGGTTGGCCTCCATGTATCTGTACACTGCTAGGTCTGCTTACCTTTATCTCCTGGTTGAGCAGTCCCAGTCGCACCATGTGAGCTCTCATCCCCTGCAGGGTTTGCTCACTAAACTTCTCAGGGTTGGCCTCCATGTATCTGTACACTGCTAGGTCTGCTTACCTTTATCTCCTGGTTGAGCAGTCCCAGTCGCACCATGTGAGCTCTCATCCCCTGCAGGGTTTGCTCACTAAACTTCTCAGGGTTGGCCTCCATGTATCTGTACACTGCTAGGTCTGCTTACCTTTATCTCCTGGTTGAGCAGTCCCAGTCGCACCATGTGAGCTCTCATCCCCTGCAGGGTTTGCTCACTAAACTTCTCAGGGTTGGCCTCCATGTAACTGTACACTGCTAGGTCTACTTACCTTTATCTCCTGGTTGAGCAGTCCCAGTCGCACCATGTGAGCTCTCATCCCCTGCAGGGTTTGCTCACTAAACTTCTCAGGGTTGGCCTCCATGTATCTGTACACTGCTAGGTCTGCTTACCTTTATCTCCTGGTTGAGCAGTCCCAGTCGCACCATGTGAGCTCTCATCCCCTGCAGGGTTTGCTCACTAAACTTCTCAGGGTTGGCCTCCATGTATTTGTACACTGCCAGGTCTGCACTTGTGATTTTGAACCGATGTCCAAACACATCCACTATAGATCCTGTATCATAATATTAATACAATCAATATGTAAAATGTTCATTTTCATACAATACAACTATTTGCACTAAAACTGTTTATCAAATGGATTATTAGGGATATTCCACCACAAATAGTGAAACAAAATTTTTTTTTGTTATAGGAACTGGATTTTGAGCCTGGTCTCAGGTGATAAAGTATTAAAAACATGACTCTTCTTGTATTGTATTGTAAGGTTTTGATGTTATCACCTGAGGGGGTGGGGACAGACTCCAGATCCTGAAAGAGACACTTTGTTTTTTTATTGATCAAGATGGAAATAAATGTCCACAAAAATCTCTAAAGTACTGTAATATAAACTCATTAATCACCAAAAGTAAATTTCAAACAAAGAAAAACCATTTTATTAATCTAATAAATAGAGGTCTGTGAACTTTTAAACGGTCCGGTGGTTCTAAGTTTTTTATATGTTGTTTAGGATGGTAAGTAGGTGTTAAAAATGCAAAATGCACAATTTCTCCCCCTCCGCGCCTTCCGCCATATTGGAATAATCTATAAAAATCTGCACATTCTTGAGATTTTTGCCTATATCCCGGTTTTGGTGTGTTATAGCGAAACCAAGTTATTGTCAATGTTGTAGAAAATTAAATTTCCTGTATTCGCTAAGAAAATATACACTTAAGAAAAAGGGCAAAACATCAAATTTTAGATTAAACACTTTAGATTTAAGGTTTGTTTTTTTTAGTCACACTTCCTGTTTTCAAATAATGATTGAAGCATTTTGTAGGTAATTAAATTGGTTCTCTACAAATTTAATTGTGATACTTGTTTTCCTATAACAGGCCATTACTGAATTGCAGTAATCTAAAGTTTGATCTAAAATTAGGTCCCCCCCCTGTTTGTTAAGTGAATATTTTCTTTGACATAAGTTCTAAAAACAAACAATCAAACGTAGATTGTAGGAAATTTAATTGTCTACAACAGTGCCTATAACTTTTTTGCTAAAACGCACCAAAACAAATTATAGGCAAAAAACTCAAGAAAGTGCCGATTTTTACAGATTTTTTCAATATGGCGAGGGGCGCGGAGAGGGGAAATTTTGCATTTTAAACACCTACTAACCATCCTAGACAACATATAAAAAATTAGAACTACCGGACCACTTGTAAGTTATCCCCCCTATTTTTGTCTCTACTGGACTAAGATGTAGATTTCAAAGGACACAGGTATCGGAGTGTTTGTAGTAATCAATTTCAAAATCTGAAGGTTGATGGTTCAGTCCCAAGTTGCCATTGCGGTATATGATTATATACAAGAAAATTATGCACTTTGATATTTGTGGGACATAATATATGTATAGCAAAACTAAGGAAAGTCGTCCTGGGCTGGGGAAAACAGCCTACCAGGAAGTTTGATTGCCCAGCAATAAATATACAGCGTAGTAGATGCACTGATGACCAGTGCAACAAGGACTAAGTGGATAGGCAGGACAATGTCAGCCAAATAACACTATTACTTTGTTGAGGTATAAAAAACTATGCTACAAATAAAAAAATAATAACAGATCCAACAACCCAAAGTATCCACTGACCTATATTGAAGTCGCCAGGCGTGTAGAACTGAGGGTTGTCTGGGTTGGAGCCAGGTTTGGGCAGACACATGGGTCGGAGGAAGCGACCAGCCACGAACCCAGAGTTGGGTACCTTCAGTTCCTGCACCAACACTTCTCCGTTGGCCAGGTTGTACTCTATCATGAACTGGCGATCCTTGTCCTCAGGGTGGACCCAGTCTAGCACCGCGGTGTAGCGCAGTTTCTGTAACCATTTGTGTACAATAAGCCTATTGTCGGGACCACGTAAGTTTGCAGTTGAGTGAGGAGCCTATTTATCATATGGTTTTGAATGAACCAATGAGAACCGCGCGGTGTTGCCAAATCTAATAATACCAGCTGATTTGAAAATATTGCTTATATTTTAATTAGTGTTGTCAACGGGCGATGTGGCAACGTCACACTAGCCTTGTCTTGTGATTGGCTGCCACCAACTGCAAACTTACGTGGTCCCGACTTTAGTAATCGGTTTTCTTTGAAACTCAGAGTGCATTAAAAGAATGCAACTAAATGATGTAGGTCTAAAAGAGAAGGATCTGTTCATTGCATATAAATAATGCTTTACGTCTCAAAAACTATGATTAACATGTATTTTAAAGAATACAGAACAAACAGTAACAATTGACAATTCAAAAGAGAGAATACTTAGGTGATGAGAAGATCTCTGAACCAAACATGAGGTGTGGTAAGCCATCAGGTTGGTCTGATTAACCAAAACAACTGATTTGTAAGATTTAAAGGCTTTTCTTAGGGAATCACATTAAAACAATCTGTAACCAATCAGAGTGAAGTACTGTCACAGTTGGGGGCCTGGGGTGGCTTAGATGAGAGGGCCCTTTTGACATACATCGGGGCAAAGCCCGCGGGTTACAGCTAGTATATATATATATATATGTGTGTGTGTGTGTGCACGCTTTTAATGTGTTTGGTATCACTGATTAAATGAGCTTATATATAGGATTATGTAAGCTAAGTCAACTATATCTATACTAATGATCAAGAAGTTAGTTAGTTCATCATGAGATATTATTTTGTAAAAATTTCAGGATTAATCAAAGTTCTCACCTTCCCAGCGTTGATGATGTATCTGAGCATATCCTTCTTGGGAGGTTTTGGCATGAAGGAGTAACAAGACTGAGCCGTATCTTCTGGAGCTCCTATACCTATGTGTGGCGGGAGAGGCTGTGAAACAGTTACAAACTTTTACAATTTGGTTGGAAATAAAAATTCATTTATGCACAGTATTCAATAAACATGAATAATAAAAAGAGTTACTTTAAACAACAAATAAAATAAGGTTTCTAAAAAATAATGGTGGGGTTTATTAATTTATTAACAATATAAGCAAGACTTGGATTGTTTTGATACGTTAAAAGAGAAGAATTTCTAGAACTATGGAATTGATGTTGATAGAGGAGAGAGAGACCAATGGAGACAATTAAGAGGAAGAGAAGAGGATGGAAAGGCCTATCCAATACCCAGGCTCAGAAATTACCGTAACAGAAGAGGATTGTTATAAACTTAAGAAGGGCAAAATAAACTGAAGATGAACATATTTCACTTGAAAAATAACTAATCAAAGTATTATTAAAATGAATATACAATTATGTGTATAAATAATCATTACAGGAGGCGGTGGTGCTGGCTTCTCTTCCAGTACTTTGATCGCAGCAGGCTGGTCGAGCTGCAGACAGTGGGAGAAGTACTTGCGAGTGAACGCATCACAGTCGTAGATCATAAACCTGTGCACAATCACAATCAGAAGACATGTCAATTGAAAACTTGAAGGAATAATAACTCAGTGTACTTAAAATAGATGGAACAAATACATAAATTATAACAACAATAACAATAATTTAGAAAATTTAACAATTTAAATTTAGACTTTTCTTTGTCTCAAAAAATGCATGCTTTTAAATCTTAATTATTGGTTAACTTTTAATATATTAAAACTATTGTTCTGCAAAATATTCCAAGAACATAAACGTACCCATACAATGTATTGGGATGAGTATTAGGATTGTCCCACAGTGCATAGCTTCAAACTATGTTCATCTCAACTAAATTCACAGTTTTGTTTAAAATTCCTACAAAACCGACAGACAAAAAACTCTGAAACAAATTATAAACTATTTTATAGCTTGATTTGTTTCACCAAATATATTTTTGCTGTTTTCATTTAATTAAAAAAATATATTGATTTATTAGGCAACGTTATAATAATTGTGTTGAATGTGATTGTAACTGTTATTGAACATATTTTAGTGGAGGGAAACCCCGAACGCAGAAAAAGTTCTCCTTCCCTGATAAAAATTCTTAATTTTTTTAAATTTGTAATTTTTCATACAGATGAACCTATACAGCTCGAGGTTGGCTACAAACCACTTGTATGGCTTAATCACAAAGATAAAAAGACACTAGTGGTTGGCAAGATTACCCAGGGCTTCAGCAGATGTCCGGCACGCCAGGACCAGCCACACCACATTACAGTTACAATCTAACTATGCCTAGTTTAGAGAGGATTGAAGAGATAGTACGCACTTCCTCGCCATAATATGAACTGTGTTGCCAACCATAAAGTCCTTAGGTTGGTAATACTCAGTCACCTCTGCATCACTGCGCTCCATGAAAATAGACGGATAATCCTCTGAAACATGTGATAAAGTAATAACTCAAGCTCAAGAAACATGGCTGTTTTTAGACCTGCTAAAAACCAACAGAATGGTAGAATCCAACTTCCATTTGAAAAACCACAGGAATATTCTACTGAATTTACATCCTAATCAAATTCAAATACTAGTCAAATTCTTTACATAATTGTAGAAAACTATTATATTCTGAAGTTTTGTATTTCTCACACTACAAAGGATAATATGCTTATCCAGAGGTTTTTACTCCTTAATCGTTTAAGTTACCCCTCACAGAACGTGCACATTCTTTTTTGTGCAAACTAGTCCAACAGAAATTCTCAAAACACTTCATATGGAAACTTCTTAACAGCTTTAAAAATAGATGACATAACAACAATGAAACCAGAAGAAATGCAGATCACCATACCCTAGATTTGGTATTTTTAAAGCTCACAAAGCCAAAATATTTAAATTTTGCACTACCATTTTCATGGGTATTTACTGTGTTGTTAAAAAAGTACCAAGTGTTAATATTTGTTTTCAAGTGTTATTAGATGTAGGCCTATTTTTTTATTTACCTTCCGTACATCAAATTAAAGAAAGTTGGTCAGCAGCATAACCTGAAACCTACCTTTGAAAGCGCTACCTATAAATATAAGGTCCCAAAGGTAATGAGTCCCAAAGGTTTTACCCTTTTACTTATCATTTTTGTCTCTTCATTAGAAGATAAGCTTTAAAATGACAACAAATCAATAAAAATCTATTAAGTAGGACGTCTAAAAAAGGAATATTACAGATAAAATCCTTATTGTATTTAGTATAAAGGTAGATATGATAAACGTACGTGGAATATCTTTCCAATTCTTGGGTACTTTCATCTTGTTGAGCAGTTTGGGGAACGAGTCGTGACCGGAGTTTGGAGTCTTAACTTCACCAATCTCAACCGTGTCGTTGGCCAGGTAGTAGTAGATGACGTACTTCCTCATCTCCCCTCCACTCTCTCTCTCGTCCCACACTGCGTAGAACCTGCGGGGAATAAACAAAGATAAAAAGATGAATTTCTACCAACCAAGACAAATAATGGAATACTCTAATTGAAATCCAATAATAATGTTTGTTAGTATAATTTGAATGTTCCATCGATAGCCTAGATAGACTAGATCGTTCCATTTCAAGTGAGATAGTTTTTAACAAAAAATCCATTATAGATTGTAACAAGACTAAGGTTTTAACAGTTCCCGTAAATATGCTAATGGTATAGATGGATACAAAATAAGACAAATTTTTGGTCAGCACAATAATTAAAACATTTTTCAGTCAATGATTCTTCTTTTGTCATAATCATATTTTTATTGTATGGATAGATTTGACATAAGTAACCTTTCATAACTTCTGTTAGTGGCCCCACCTTAGAACTTTGCCGTCGTACTCCAGGAAACGCCGCAGCTTGTCATCTACAGGCCCAGCTCTAGACGGAGGGTGGGGGAAGCCTTGTCGGCTCAACATGTACGGATCCTGAGGTACTTCCTCCATTGCATTCAGCTCTAAACCTTGACTCAGCAGAAATTCCTAGGCATAAGATAAAAAATAAGACACTGCTTAACATAATATTTTGATATTTAGATGTACTGATGATGAATACTGCTCCCAAGTACTGAAAAGAAAAATAACTGTATTAGTAATATCTAATGAACTTGTATAACTGTTGCTGTGGTTTATTGACGAATATCCCAAGAAAAAATTATAAGCCAAAAGGACACAACTTAATAGATATGAGACAATAGGGTACAATACGTTAAGTTAGTTTGAACTACTATTTAGTTTCACTGTTTAGTTTTTACATTATTGTATGATATTATACATTATACTCAGTTAACAAAATTATGCAGCTTTATGGGAAGAAATATATCTCCTCCACTTGACCCTTACCTTTAAAATAGTGTAGGTATCTCAACAGCTGATTAAGTAACACAAGTACATTAAGCACAAAAAATGTTTGAGGAACTACCTCCCACCATTCTCCCACCCACTAAATTTTGTGAACAGAGTATAGGATACATTAAATTTTAGATTTAAGAATTTATTGACTGTTTGTTATTTAAATATATTTTTATGTACAATGGACAATTCGTGTTCCATATTGTATTCAGTCAATAACAATAAATGATTGATTATTATAAAATTAATGGTTTATTCAACATAAAATTTCTACAAACTGTATAAATAATTGTTTACAAAAATATATGAGATGTATCATATTTTTTATTATTTTATAAGTTGACGAAGGATATTCAATATATAATGAAACAAAATACATTTCTGACAACTCTCTTCTTTAACATACTATCTATGACTCAAAAAAATGTTCTTCCTTATTTCAGTATACTACCTTAGTCAAATGTATATTTAACAAACTTAGGTGTAAAAACAAAGTGCAAGTATAAAAATCTTCCTACCGTAGTGAATTCATCACAGTTGCAAATGTGGTAGGTGATACCATAAATGACAAGGTCTATGCCAACGTTGAGGTCTTTCCAGTGCCAATGCTGGCCTGACGATCCCTTCGGAATCTTGGCTCTGCGTACCAGCCTGCCTTGGTCGTATCCTGCGTTCTGGTTAAACAACAGGGATGGGGATGATTAATTAATGCTTGAAATATGAGGCAAGAATCAACTGAGATTGTAAACAGCCTACAGTAAATAAGCAGTTTACTTTCAGCCATAAAGGGAACATATATTGTGAGCTATGGCTAAATTTGCACTAATTAATTTGAAGGGGAATCAACCCCATCACAAAAAAATACAGTGAAATAATTCACAACCTCAGTGTTTGTTGGAAAATAAGAGAGAGAGAGGTCCCCAAACATCTTTCAACTAAGTTACACTACAATTCATAACTACTAAAACAATGCCTAAAGGTCAGTTGATTAGCATAACAAATACCAACACAAGCTTTCCTAGTATAACTTTGCTACCTGCAGGTTTTGACTGGCCTTAAGGGAATTCAAGAGTTTTATGGAGGGCCTGGTTATGGCCTGAAATAAGCAAGTCCCTCCCGAGCAACTCAAAATACAAGAAAAATTTGTAATTTCTTTTTATTACTACAAACACAAAACTGGCCTCAACAAAATTGATTGTAAACACACAAAGCAATATGTGTGATAAAGATAGAACCCATCAACTCTGCTACAGCAAACTAATTGAAATGGTGTGAGGAAGGGGATATTTTAGGCTCCACATAATTGCTTGTGGGCCGATCTGGTGGACAGGTTTCTTCCCAGTCTGACTTTGGATTTACGTAAGAAAGTACTGTCCAAGTAATGGCTGAATGAAGAATGGAAAATACAAAATATATCCAATGGTGAAAGCTATCTTACCTGCACTGGAGGTTCCATGACAGTGAGGGTGTCATCTTCAAGGAAGTAGATGATGTTGACTTGTCTGATGCGGAAGTGTTCATCCGGTGACTCAGCGACGGACTGTCTAAAGAACGCTCGGAAGGTCAGACATTTCTTGTCATATTGAACAAAATGTGGAGTGAATGTTGGAATTTTGTAGCTTTTTGCCCGGCCGTAAATGAGTGATGGATCAAATCTAGGAGATAATAGAACATTAGTGTCCATCAATTTTCAGCTCTCAAATCTACAAAAATGACTATTACTGCTGCACTACAGATTTTAGACTTTTTTCCAACATAAGAAATTAATTGTGCTAAAATAATTGTTTAATCACATAGAAAACACTTAGGCTACACACTAAACATACATTTAAACATATCTTGGCTTTGACCAAAAGAAGGAAAGAAGGTCTACAAAATACTCGTCCCTAAGCCCTGATCTAAAGATTATGAGGCACTAGTCTTCTGACAAGGCTTCTCCTGCAGCTTGGTCTACTGACAGTACTAAGCATTTTTTTGTAGATTTAGCCTATATCACCACAGTGCTAAAACAATTTTGAGTTCTGACCAGCTTACTCTTAGGAATATCTAGATTGCCTAACTGTCTTGTAACATGCTCGTGGATAGCAGCTCCGAGAGATTACTCGTTGATAGTGTTGTGGATGTGCAGAAAAAGACACATCAAGAACCTTTTTTGAATTAAAAAAAATTATAACTATCATTCTTAGAAATATGTGACTGAACAAAAGTGCAACGATTTTTTTATTGTTCCTTTTGGTTTTTACTGAAACACTGTCTTTACGGTACTCTATTGATATCTTGTAATTTAACCAACTTTTAAAAATCACAACAAAATACAACAATTTATTTGTATTATAGTAACCTGTTGCTTGTTTTTTGGTATTATATAATCAAAGAGTAAGGTACCGGTACACACTGTTAGATTTACCCTAAAATAGAAGAGAACTATTAAATACGACATTAGAGAACTCAAGTGTATCTGGACATGAAATTTCTATCATAACAGGCATCAAATTACGTTGCGATTGGTTTAAACGTCTTGATGATGTGCCTGGATTTTTTTAATTTATCCATGAATCATTTAAATATTTAACAATTATAACTAGGCCTACCTACCTATTTAATTTAACCAAAAATTATTTAAAACTAATTTAATACGATGCCTATCTGTATGAGGACACTCCTCTGTATGAGGAGCCTTGTATTGAATGTGTTAAACTAGAAGATTGAGGTACTGTACCTTAATGTCAAATTTTGACGAAATTAGTGTGTTGAAGTTGAAAAATAATCTTTACGATTTTCATACCTTATCGGATCAAGAGCATCGTGATAGCGAACTGAGTTTACGTCCAATGGAGTTTTCCCAATACCAAACTCAGGTTTACGACTCACAGCATACCCATTTCTGACGTCAAAATGGTGGGATACATTGAATTTGGATTGCTAAAACACATAATACACTAATTTAATTAAAATCCTACAATCAGTGGTGTAGTGGGGTGGGAAAGCATGAGAATGGTGTCCCCACTCTGCTTTTTTTTCCTAAAAATCTCATATTAATAGACAACCTATGATTTTTTCCGTATTGATGGTGAGCGTTCGCTTACTAAAAATTTTTCAACAAACTTTACACCACTCTGTTTTAGCTACTAGAGTTAACTTCCTGCACTAAGAGAAACTGTTATTCTTGCAGTGCCTTATCCTTATCGCCTCACCTACTAGGTACTCCAAAGTAGTCTACCGTACCTAAGTTACAAGCAAAGAAAGCTATAGAAGTTTTAAACATTGCATGTAAAATGTTTGCTGAAAATTAAATAAATAGCAATAGGTACATTAAAGTTTAGTGCTCACAGATGTATAGAAAGCAAATTTCATCATACAAAAAATTAAATATGTGATTTGAATTGGGTTGAAGGGGATAATCTACTAACTTATGTTCATATGTTTGGCATTACAAATATTTTTAGATGTAAAATTCAATGGAAAGTGGAATAAAAATAAGCTTATAGACTACCCAGTTTGCTCAAGGAGTGTGGCTTGTCAAAGTGTCTGCTCTATTCACAAACACATACATAAGGGATGAGAATGTGCATACGTGTGAGTTGGGTTCCTCACAGGAAGGACTGAGCTCCAGCCGCACTCCCTGAGCAACCAGAGTACGATGGATGGTCATATTTTTACAGACAGTCTGAGTTTCTAGCTTAGTCTGGGCTGGGGGAATTATCTATGGTTTATATTTTCCTCAGGTCTGAGTCACCATCAGTAAAAAAGTGAAAATATTATGGATATCCCATTTGAATTTTTTAATAAGCCAACATGACTTGATAAATCTGTTTTGAATCCCAAAGCAATTAAGTGGTATTTTCAAAGACATTTTTAAGATTTATGGTAAACATAAGCAAACTAGAACTGCTTTAACTTAGGTAGCATTAAGTTTAACAGTAAAATTTAGTTCATAGTCAGTACAAAGCTGTCATTTAGTTCATTCAACACTCATTTCTAATTCATAGCCTTAAAATAGGTACGCACCTAGGTTTGGGTGTAAAAATAGCCTATAACCTAATCTAGGTAGTTAACTACCATATTTGCTTTTAGTTCTCATAAAACAACGTGGGAAAAATTTACAGAAAACCAAATCACCATACAAATTAAATAAAAAAAATTACATTCGTCAAAGTACACTGGAATGCCAGGAATAACCACTGTGAATGCCCTCAATCCCTGAAAATATACAATAACTGAGAAACGTTAAATTTATTCCCAAATGAAGACAAGTTAGAATTATTAAGAAAAGTTACTTACCGTAATGTCTCGAAAAGCATAACCTGGCAGTAAGGGAAGACCTTCCATTGATAGGTGCTAGAACTGTGCCATACATTCAAGTTAAGTAACTAAGAAAACCCAAAACAATTTCTTGTCAATGCATTAGTAAATATAAACAGAATTAAAAAACTAACCTCATATTATTGGTTTCATAGCAACCGGAAGACCCTACCACTGCCTTCTTTATTTTAGTTTTCTTCCCATGGTCCCAGGTTAGGCAACTCACATTTTCCCTCCCTTATTTTAATTTTTAGAGCATAGGGGTGATTATTATTATTATAATATGTTCTAAGGCAATATTTCTTGGTAAACAATATAAATATGTAAGAAACCAAATATTACGTAACATGTTAACAGTTTACATAGATAAGTTTTAAATGGCCATGGAAAATGGCTACTAAATAAAATCTTCTTATCAATCGAGTGGTGATGGTGACTTTTCATTTTAGATCCAGTATGTGAGCTCAAGCATAGATAAAACATACTCCCTTAGTAGATTTCCCATCCTTATGGACCAGCTGAAGCCAATTTTATTTATTTTATTATGAAAGCTGAGTTTATTATAATAAACTTTGCCTATTAGACACAGTAACAAAAAACTTAAATTTATCATATAAATAATATGTAACTTAACTTAGATTAATAACGTTGTCCATATAAATGATTTTGAATGATTTTACATGATCCTTTTAACACTTTTATGACTACGGTACTTCATTTTTTAATTTTGATGAAAGATTATATATTTTTTTAATTCGTCAAAAAATGTTGTAATAGTCCCTCTTGCACCAATCATTATGCCAATTACTGATATAGAATTTATATTATATTTGTTTCTTAAATAAGTTTCACATTTACTATAAATTTTCCTCTTAAGGGTTGATTTGTTGATGTTTCAAACCTTAAAGTTGGATGGATCAATTACAATTCCAATTTTAGATTTTGTTTCATATATTATATCATATTAGTTCTGTCCGGTGTACTGTAGAGTCGTGTTTGGTTTACAATCGTTTCTTACTATTTCAGTAATCTAAAACCTCGTTTAACCAAATAAAATGTAATCATAAACAATAACTTGTCCACCAGCTATAAAACCGAACGAGGCACAAATCATGAGAAACTAACCGTAAAATAATAGAAACAAATTGTAAACAAAACACGACTCTACAATATACACCGGACGGAACTAACAATAAAATTAGCTTCAGCTGTTTCATACGGATGTTAAATCTACTATAGGAGTATGTTTTACCATAGACTTAACCATAGATAAAACATACTAAATGGTTTTACCCATGGCTCATAACTACGGATCTATAATCAACGCCTGTACTTAAAAGTTTACAGCTGAGTAGATCAGCAGTTGGTAGCACTGACGTTTATTGGAAATCAAGTGTTGGAGTTGACAGGCTTGGTTCCAGGTTCCACTTCTCATCCTTCTCACTATACTTGCCTGCTTGCACAAAATTATTTGGATCGGATGTCATAGCAACAAAATTAAACTAGGAACAGTTACATAATCTGTGTTAACCTAGGTTTTACCATGTTTTACTATAGGCAAAGGACAAACCTTATAGATAGGTCTCTACAGAATTTTGTTTCTACTAATGTACTGTACTATCAACAATGATTTGTTTAGTGTTTTTCAAACAGAAATTATATGCAACTTTAGAATTGAAATAATTAATTAAGTTAGCTCCTATCAAAAACTGTATTGAAAATTAATAAGCAAATTATCTTTATCAACAATTAAAATGTCCATGAAAATGAATCAAGTAAAATTTAAATATACTAAGAAGCCCATTTGCTCATTGAAGTATGAAATGACAAAAAGAAAGGAAAAGTGGAAAGCTATTAATGATCCTGCGGAGAGACAACTTTCAATTGTAAGTATACTAGCTGTTACCCAAGAGGTTCATCCCGTTTGACTTCTAGCATTAATAATTGATTGGTTAAGTTGAGCTGGAATAAACAAAGAATACAGTAATACAAACAAAAGTACAGCTAGGGTATTTTTAACATTAGGTATATGGAAAGTTCCCTTTAGAAAAGAATTACGATTACGACCTCAAAGGGCAATTTATGAAATAATGGATAGTTTTGCTCAAGGTTTCTTGTCATGATCAATATTTTATGGGGGTTTACCGTTTATGAGGGTGTGACTTTTAGTTTTCTCAAAAGTTCATGGGTACTTTGGGATTTATATATGAACTAGCTGTGTACCCGTTCTACGCACGGGGATCTTATAATATTCAGTTGAAACCTTCTTATATAACGAACAGCAGTTGGTTTGCATATTTTAAGATATGCTGGCCAAACTATTATACATAGCTTCATTTTATGTTGTTTTTTGTTGTTCCGGATCGGTATGACAATCAATAAAAGGTTAAATTACCTCTGTGTCTGCCGGTCGATCCTATAACGGTAGGCTTACTTTTATTTTTACTATCTGATCTCGTTTGCATGGCTCAATCACGTCCTGGTTGAAGTTCGTTCGCTACGCTCACTCACCTGTATGTTGGAGCTCGTTCGCTGCGCTCACTTTCCTTCAGGTTAGCTCGTTCGCTACGCTCACTTGCCTTCAGGTTAGCTCGTTCGCTACGCTCACTCGCCTCCAGGTTGCAAATTAGCTGTTGTCATAAATGTAAAAGAAATAATAGTGCTAGTGCTGCACCCTGTTGGTAATCCTTGTAACTTTAATGCTATTGAACATCACAGAACAGAACCAACTTGTTTAATTGAAACAGCTGTTAAGATTCAATAATTTCATTTCTCATAAGGTTAACATGGGCTTCCAGAAATTCCACGTCAAAAATCGACAAAAACTTGATTTTCAAGGGTTTACTGTTAAATATCTAACTGTCTCATATTCGATGAAATACGTCTAAAACCATCTCATATATGTATAGTATTTGGAAAATAAGTTTCAGGCGGGACAGTGCTATAGTTATTGAGGAGTAGTTGTAATAAAGTGCGTATTTTAGCGTTACCAAGAGAATGACAGATAGACAGACAGACAGACAGACAGACAGACAGACAGAAATTGAGATAAGGTTTGATTCGGTTTCTCCGACCTATGAAATGTAAAAATAACCAAAAAGTTCATTATTCTAAGCAATGTACAGACAAAACTCTAATTTTATTTATATAGATAAACATACTGTCTCATTGTAGCTATTGCAAATGAATAGGCCTAAAAAGCAGTATTCATTTGTTGTACCTATCAACAAACCATTTAAAAAATTATATTGAAATGAAACTGTTCCAAACTAACCTTACACTTGACTAATCAAACTTTCTGTAACATTTCAAAATTCTGTTTTATTCCCCACATCCCTTTTCTGTTATCAAACGGAATTTTGAAATGGTTACCAGTATGATACAGAAAGTTCGGTTAGTTTAGAACAGTTTCATTTCTTAAGCCATAGGGTGACCCGGGGCAATTCTGGCAGCCAGACGTGAACCTTAACTTTAACTGCTTGTACCGCGGTGAACATATTTTTCATTTTATTTTGACAATTACCATAGTAATTCTATGTTATTCCTCTAGTGTTTTCATATATTTAGACAACAATCTCAAACTCCCCTTAAGGGGGTTTGAGGTGTTTTTTTTTGGAGTGTCAGATGCCAGAATTGCCCCAACCTTGGGGCAATTATAGCAATACCTTATATTTTCCTTATTGTTTAAATTGCTCTGACATTGGGGCAATCATGGCATAGGCCTAATTTAGCTGTTTAAGATGGTGTTTTAATTTTTGTTCTATCTCTATTTATAAGGAAGTTGTGAATAAACCGGTAAGACAGTACAAGCGTACAAGGGCCTTAACCTCAAAACTTCTAGCAACAATAAACAATAAAAATAATCAGGCTGCCATAGAGTAATCTAAGCAAAAGGTGTTTACAAAGCCATCCAAATGAACTGAAATGAAACATATTACACATAACACGCGTTGTTATACAATTTATTCTTTAATTTATACATTATTTGTATAAAGATATATAGCTGCCATAATTGCCCCGGGTTCTTTGCCACAATTGCCCCATAGCATATGAAAATGGGGCAATTATAGCACCAATTTAAATTTAAATATCTTAAAGAGATAACTGCTATTACTATTTTTGTTCATGAAGTTTTAAGTCTGAACAATTATCTTTGAGTATAAAAAAAAATAAAATATAAAATTCATAGGGGAAAAAAAATTAGCCGTGTGCGATGTTTCGATATCCTCGGGCTGTGGAAGAAAGTACTTTTTTAATCGCTAATAAAAATTACTGCAAACATTTTATTTTTACAAAAATGCTTTCCTATATATAGGAGGTATATGCTGAAATAACAAATATTGCTTCACTGATCTGTAAAGCTGAAATTTAAAAAAAATATAGGCCATTGCTATAATTGCCCCGTGCCAGAATTGCCCCGGGTCACCCTATTATTTTTGCCTAAACAAGATTAGGTAGGTAGGCCTAGTTCTCATAATGTAATATTTAAATACGTTTGATGGTATTAAAACAGAAGGAATTCAATAAACTCAAATAATCTTTATTCAAGCTGTACATACATATTGTTATGGATCGTAACAGTATAAATATGGATCGTAAAGGTAAACAAAAATATCGATATATCGAAAAGAAATCATCGATATCAATGAATGTTCCCTCTAACAGGAAAGTACCAAAATTAATATTACAATTACCCTGGCTGTGACTTATTATGAACTAACAAGACAGCAGGCTATCTGAGACAATAAACCAACAGATGAGGTGAATATGACTCAGATAGACCATGTCATATGGTTTGACCTCAGCACTAGTCTTCAACAAGATTAACTTTAGGCCTACTTTACTCTCTTCAGGGTTACAGTTTAAGTATTTCTAAACGTTTATGATCATTTAAACATTGTTAAAATTTTTTTGACTATACTTTAATATTCATATTAGCTCAATAATTACAAAGGAACAGTCTCATTATAAAGTATTTCACACTCTAAATGCAACACATGACAGGAGTGTCTGCTGCTCACCATATTTAGTTGTCACGTCTTCAGACCCTTTAAATCACTGCTTCAAATCAATAGGTACCCACCCCCAGAAACATGAGTAAGTAATAGGTACCAAGGTACTGACTTAAACAAAATATTACTGCAATGGTTTTTATTTTCATATAGCCGCTAGAAGCGCAATACTCAGTGGTTCAAGAGTGTGTATCTGAAGCAGTGTACAACAGTCTGGCTACCATGTTGGACATGCCTCAGCTTAGCGGAGAGACTACGTTGTCTCCATCTGTAGAGACAATCGTACCTTACAACCCACCTGAGACAACCTTGCCGACTGATGTACGAGACAGCGTTGATAAAAGGACCAGAGTAAGAGATACCTACCTATTTCATACTTGAATGCTAAATATTTATTCACACACATCAGTTCCACAGTTACTTCACAGTCAAACAATTTATTCTCAATGGATTTTCTTTTGCGCTATCTACACTCATCCTACACAGGTCAGTCAGTTGCTCTGCCGGCGTCCGTCAGTCACTTTCATATTTCTTCCCACCGATATTTTGGGATTGTTTGGACTCCTGAGGTACGTGGGATGTATATGTTTTGCATAAAAAAAATTGTGTTTTTGTTATTTAGATAATTGTGTGATTTTAAGTACTGTTTTTTAACAATCATCCAGATGGACGATGAAAAATTTATGTGTTTAAATATAAAAGTTCTTGACTGTAACATCACTGTAAATAAAACTATGTAGTCCAGGAGCTGAGGGGGTTTGAGCATGCATGAAAGTAGTACGCAATGTTATTGCTGATTATTGTAATATGGACTGTGGTGATCAAAATTACGTATGTCGCCTATTTCAAAAGTGGTCGATAAGGTGGGGGGGAGGGGGCAAACATGGCGGTTTGCGCTATGCGTTAAAACGCTGATAGTTCGAAAACGGTAAAAGATAGAACATCGGTTAAAACGTCGTTGGAATTCTAAAAATGTGGACAACAATAATGGTTATTGGGTCCGAGGTCGTATCTCTATAAATAAACAAGTTATTGTATAAAATATGTAAAAATGGACTTTTCGCGTAGTTTTTTAACCGAAAGTAGAATTAATTTGTGAGTGTCGCAAAGAAGTAATATCAAATATCTTTGCTGATAGTTGTAATATGGAATGTGGTGATAAAAAATACGCATGTCGCCTACTTTTCAGGTGGTCGAGAACTTATGGGGAGGGGGGCAAAGATGGCGGAACGCGCTATGCATCGAGACGACTGTAGCTCGAGAACGGTACGAGATAGGACATCGGTTAAAACGTAGTTTCAATCCAAAAAATATTACCAATAGAAAAGGTAATAGGGTAAAAAGTTGTATCTTAACTAATAAAAAAGTTATAACAATAATAAGTTTAACAAAATCTACATCGCACAGCTATTTTTTTTCGAAAATCGTATGGATTGTTGATAAATAATAGTGTAATTCCTTAATTACTCGGCTATATATTAACTAGATGCATTTTCTTATAAGAAAAAAATATATTATTACGAATACATTTGGTTTAAAATGTAAAACACGGCCTCCAAACGCCTTGGGGTTCGTCCGATAGGTTGCGTCATAATTGCTGCGCAGTGCTGCTGATATCGGCACAACTGTTAATAAGAACTGAATAACTGGCATAACTGAATAAGAATCTGTTACATCATATTATAATAACCTACAACTTTATAATAAATTAAATTGGATTTGTAGTGGTAGTCTGTATTATGCATTTGATTGCGGCGAAACCCCAAGTATTATATGTAGTTTGGAGGCCGTGTTTTACATTTTAAACCAAATGTATTCGTAATAATATATTTTTTTCTTATAAGAAAATGCATCTAGTTAATATATAGCCGAGTAATTAAGGAATTACACTATTATTTATCAACAATCCATACGATTTTCGAAAAAAAAAATAGCTGTGCGATGTAGATTTTGTTAAACTTATTATTGTTATAACTTTTTTATTAGTTAAGATACAACTTTTTACCCTATGACCTTTTCTATTGGTAATATTTTTTGGATTAAAACTACGTTTTAACCGATGTCCTATCTCGTACCGTTCTCGAGCTACAGTCGTCTCGATGCATAGCGCGTTCCGCCATCTTTGCCCCCCTCCCCCCAAGTTCTCGACCACCTGAAAAGTAGGCGACATACGTATTTTTTATCACCACAATCCATATTACAACTATCAGCAAAGATATTTGATATTACTTCTTTGCGACACTCACAAATTAATTCTACTTTCGGTTAAAAAACTACGCGAAAAGTCCATTTTTACATATTTTATACAATAACTTGTTTATTTATAGAGATACGACCTCGGACCCAATAACCATTATTGTTGTCCACATTTTAAGAATTCCAACGACGTTTTAACCGATGTTCTATCTTTTACCGTTTTTGAACTATCAGCGTTTTAACGCATAGCGCAAACCGCCATGTTTGCCCCCTCCCCCCCACCTTATCGACCACTATTGAAATAGGCGACATACGTAATTTTGATCACCACAGTCCATATTACAATAATCAGCAATAACATTGCGTACTACTTTCATGCATGCTCAAACCCCCTCAGCTCCTGGACTAATGGAAGAGTGACTGATACCAACTGATGGACAGTTGAACCAGGAATTGCATATGCATGTGAGACTGAAGTGTGACACTGGACTGATGTGTGTAAATCAACCTTAATGTATATTTGATGTCTGACCATATTACATCAGTAGCCAAGTGGTGCAGGTGCTTACTTTCAAACCTGAAAGTGCTAGAGATTCATTCTGGAACCAATCACAATTTTTCTGCTTTGGCTTGAAAGTTTAAAAAACATCCAGTCTTATCTGCCACTTTAGATGTCTGTAGTTGTATTAAAGCTTGAAAAAATCTTACTCAATAAATCAAATGTTTGTCCACATTTAATTAAAGAGTAACTTCTAACAATTATTTAAGAACTAATACATTTTAATCAGGTAGCAACATTTAATTCCTGTAGTAAACAAACTAAATTCAAATATTGACGTTTTTGGTATATAATGTAAACTGAGAGGTTACAAAGATAAAATTCTTGAATATCAATATTAATTAAAATATAATTATTTCAAATATATTAAACGTAAAACAACCTCGATTCAGCAGAATTAGTAGGCCTATTATAAAGATTTTGTGAGAAAGTATAGTGAAAAATTGCAATTTAGAAATTTTTTTAGAAAATAACCCTGTAAGATTTGTTAAAATGATGAAATGAAATGAAATGAAATGAAAAAATATCTTTATTCATATGGTATACAGTCGCATACATTGAATGGCGTCACTAGGCTTAAAACTAAATAAAACTAATCTACAATTCATCGAAACCATAAAGTGTTTTATCAGTTAAGAAATGTTTAAGTTTTTTTTTAAATTTGGAAATATTATCAATATTCCTCACCTCAGCTGGGAGTTTGTCCAAAAACCTTTTCCCTGCACAGGTGGTTTTTTTGTTAAAGAGCTCCAAGTTATGGACACTGACAGCAATTTCGTTTCTGTTCCGGGTAAAATAATTATGACAATCACCAAGTTTAGGGACCAAATTAGCATTAGAAAGTTTTTTTGTGTGTAAAATTGTATGAAAAACATAAATACTATACACAGTCATTATTCCCAATTTTGAAAAATATTGACGAGCGGAAGTATCCCATTCTAAATTTAACATAATTCTGATTGCACTTTTTTGAAGAGTAAGAATTCTATCCAGGTTTTGCTTAGAGGTACAGCCATAAATACTTATGCCAAAAGATATTGATGAATTGATAAAAGCAAAATAAAGAATCTTTAAGGTTTCTATTGAGCAAAATTTTGACATTCTATTAATAGCATGGATACCAGAAGTAATTTTGTTGACTACCTGGTCAACATGCTTATTCCATGTAAGATTTTTGTCTACAATTAATCCTAAAAACCTTGTTGTGTGTAAAGAAAAATAAAAACAACTCCCTCCTACTACTTTTATATATTTAAATATTGTATTTAAATATATTTGCTCCTTGCAATGCTCTCAAATGAATCTTTACAAATGTTGGTTGCCCCTGGGTTGGAAGAACTCCAGAAAATAAAAATATCAGACAGAGCTTTTTGGCAGTGGAAGCTTGATGTTATTGAAAAAATATGAGTGGGCCCTGCAAAATATAAATATTCCCAAAAGGTCCTTAGGGGACGCCCTTGGCACTGTTTGTAGTTCTTCCAAAAAAGTAATACCTTTAATGAGAGCAATTTACCAGTCTTAATTCTACACCGAATTTACTTGCTCACTACTACACTAGTGTTTAGTGTTGCACTTAAAAGGTGAATCTTTTGTAGTGGCCTATTATTTACTGAATTACCTTTTGTTTACCAATTTGATACTATAGCATATAATAAAGAACTACCAGGTTATTGAGAACTAAAAGTGAGTACAATTTGATTTATTAAGCATTATTTAAGATTTATAATGATTCCAGTTTGACAGTTTCTGATTGTGTGGTGCAATATAAAAATATGACCTTGAGTGACACAATCAGACGGAATTGATCTGTCTGAGAATGTTGAACGGATTTATTCAAAGGGGAATATTTGGCGCGGTTTCACACCGATCTCGAAGGTGTCAACGGAGGAGTGGTATTTAATTTAATTTGAGACGACCAGTGCCAAACAAGTCCTGTTCGTTGGCCAACGATGTAAATATGAAGGTCGATTCTCGAAGGTCAACTGATTAAACAGTATTGCGTTTAATCGTAATAATATTTACTGGAACGTTGCTTATTGTTTTATAGCTAATTTGGCACTTTGGCGGTTCGTCTATATGCAAACTGGCACAGCCTCCGATAACACTTCCCGATTCAGCCGAACCAGCAACCTAATCCCTCCTTTGATATTAAATGATTCCCCCAAATTAAAATGCTGATTGTGACACTCTGTAACGAATTGTACTTTTAATAATGACTCTGTGCAAAATTCAAATACTATATAAAAATATTACAAAGCAACTCTGAATTACCCTATAAAAACATTTTCATATATTTATTCTTAATACTATAGAAATATCACAGTCTAATAAATAAAGCGGATTGCAACAATATGAATGGATTTAAAAATCAACAAATTTTGATCGAACCTATGAACATGTGCTTATTCTACATGAATTGACAAAACAAGACAGGAAAATTTACCAAAGTGCGACTCACTGAAAATCTCAATTTAACAAATAAATACACAAAATTACTTACAGTTTGGACGTCCACAAATATAACACAAAGGGGAAAGGATGGGAAAACGTAACTAGCCGGTATACTACAACACGCGATCAATTGAACTCGTGAATC